TTAGAAGCCATCATAGCTTTTTAGTGTGGATTACTAGCTTGCAGGAGACTTTAAAATCAAGTAAGATGAAAGCTGCTTATCTACATGTTTACATGCAGAGACTGGAATATTGCAGTATTGGTTGCAAAGATATTCTGAATACATATTCATTCTGAAAATAACAAGAGTTAATCACATGTTAATCTCTTATATTCTGATACATTCTACAGGTGCAGAATTATTCTGAATATAGATTACAGTCTTGCATGTGTAGGCATTGAGAGAACTATCAAAGCGTGGTAACTAATTGGCATATAGATGTTATTTTTGTACTTTCAAAAGGCTTTTTGTTGTGTATATAAAGTTATTTTAAGTTTCTTTGTGCAAATCAGTTTTTTAATCTTGTTGTCTTTGAATTTGTGACATGAAATGTCAATGTTCAGCAGTGAGGCATTGATGGAAAGTGGTATGCAGAAGTTTCATGACATTACAAATGAGCCGAGGTTTCACCGTGTTTGTCCCATCTTACCTTGTACAGAAACTAAACTGTAATTTTATACTTGTAGTTTAACTTTGTACAAAGCCTACAGACATTGGTTCAGTGTCTTGGATGTAATAAATAAAATCCCTCCAAAGCTGATAGGAAAATTTCTAAAGTTCACTTTGCAAAAAATCTTCTACGTTAGCATCTTGCCCTGGTGACCCAGCATCTCAGAAGTGGGTATCCGAAATGTACAGCTGGGAGGCTTGACAGCTTTGGAAATCCACAATGGGGCTTCCGAATCAGACAGCGCTGATGTATGTATGTGTGGTTAACCTCTCCTCTGTATGGGAAGGCTTTTCTGAACCTGAGCCTTGGTGCCTCAACATGGACAATGGTACTTTTAAGCCTGCAGTCTTGAACTTTGGCTGGCAGCTTTTAGGATCAAAGTGAACTCATTGCATAAGTTTTTATTGTTTAGGTTTTCTCTCCTCTACACCTTGTTGCTAATATGGGAAGTCCTACACTTAAAATCATGAAACTAATAGTTGTCGAAATGTGGGCTGCCATTAACACCACGAGCACAGACTTCCTCTGACTAGTATTGCTGGAAAGACAAAGTGTATTTTTCTGAATTTTGTTATTGTACAGTTGAGAAATAAGGGTTCATAAATGATCTAAATTCTGAAATTGTTCAGCCAGTTAGACTGTTCATCTTCACAGACTTCTGAATTTCTTTATGTGTAATCATTTATAATAAGGCTGAATGTAACGGGGATTTTTTGTATTCAATAAATGACTTTCACAAAAATGTAAATCAATTTTGATCTTATATTTGCTTACATGTATAGTAAAAAAAAACCCCAAACCTGTACATAAACAAGGTTGTTTGTCTTCATCTCATCTGCTAGAAACTATTGGCTTCTCTGCTTGAAAGATAATACTGGTGAAATGTATGTCCTTGCACCAGGATAAGAGTTTGATCAGCCTCTTCTGTGAGGTTGATCTTGGTTTGGTTTGGTTTGGTTTTTTGCTGTTTGTTTTTCTCTGAACTGTCTTAGCAGAAAGAACACTTTTTCATTTGCAATTAAAAACATCAAAAACTTCCAAGTCATGCTTAAGAGCAGAAAGTTACTTGTTTTAAGTTTTGTTGGATTTTCAGGTTGATATTTTACAAATACTTGAACTGCCTTTTGATTTTAATGTAAATATACTAGCCATTTTTAATTATGTGGGTCAGGAAGTGTCTTTAAGATGAGCAACTCCCAAGTATAAACTTTTGTTTTAATAGTGTAAATTCTACTGAAACTTACAAAGGGATAGCATACTTCTGTTTATGCCACTTTGGAATTGCACAGATGGAATGGGAATGAACTTTAATGACATCCTTCAAATGCTTTGTTTAAATCTCTTAACAACTCAATATAGTCCTCAACAGAGAAGAAATATGAGCTGTTTTCCTGATAATACATACCAGTCTGGATGCAGCTGATACAAGATTCCAGTTCTTTCTGCAACTGGGAGAAAGGATGCAAGACAATACTAAAAGGTAAATAAAATGCCCTGCTTATCCTGATTCTATTGAATTAGAAACACAGATTATTAAGGATTTAAATCCTGTAAAAAGAGGTTGATAAAAAAATAGAAATGGGTTAACTGGATAAAAGGTAACTGAATAAACAGTTACACCTCTTCAGGCATACACCTTCCAGATGCTTAAGGTAATGTCCTCACCATTGACTCTAACAAAAATAGTCCCAACATCTTGATTTGATTGCTTACAGCACAATTCCTACAATCCAGTGTATTGGTTCCTCTGTTTAGTTAAGTCTTTGGTATTCAGTATTTTAGTTGGTGACCTGCAAACCCACATAAGTTAACCTGAATGACTTGCTGATACAAGGAGCTGTTCTTAGGAGTGAGCTTGACCTTTGAGGTAACAGCGTATGGGCCCTGTAGGATAAGGAAGATAGAGAGAATGAGGCGAGGAGAGAGAAAGATCGGAAATTTTGAGTGAAGAGAGGTTACATGTCTTTAGGAGCTATGTGGTAACCCATGGTATACTGCTCAGGCTTGTCTAACCAAGATGAAATTAGGAAGACACAACTTTAAGTGCCATCCCACTTTTGTCCAGAAGCTCTGGACTAACAGCCCTCTTGTACCTGAGCAGGCTGCTTATAGGATCTGTGTTCCTTCTGCATTATCCTGTTATAAGGCACATGACAAAACAAGAGCTAAGAATTGTCTGAGTTTATATTAGCCACTGCTAAGCTGGACTTAAAAATAACCCTTTTGGAAGGCCAGTGCTTAATGTAGATAAATAATACCCCTGGCTGTCAGCATGGTGATTCCAGTAAGGTTTATTAGCTCTGTTGCTGATTTAGAGAGAGGATGGCTCATGACCACTGTGCAGATCTAATCTTTCCAAATCAGAGAGTTAGCTATAATCAGCTGTATTTGTTTGACCTGAGCTAGATGAAAGCATTGGAGAAAATAGTTCTGGTGGTAGCTTAGGGAGAAGAGCGGAAAAACCTATAAGGCACCTGAATACTGTCTGAAAAACTTGCAGTAAGACATCTAGTATAATCAATATTCCAGTTGCTGAAAAACACCTTGAATGTTGGCAAGTGTGGTGTTTTCCTTTTGCAAAGAAGTGTCTTTCCTGCCTTTGAATTCAGAGCTATTCAGTAAAGCAAGAAGGTGGAAATTACAGGTTTAAAGATTTATTCTTGACTTGCAGAAAAATGGGCTGACAGGAATCTCATAAAGGTCAACAAAAACAAATGCAGCATCCTGCTTCTGGAATGGAGTAATTCCATAGCAGTGTGTGTAGGGACAGTGGTGTGCTCCTAAGCAGTTTTGCAGAAAAGGACCTGGGCAGGGGCAGATGGTCCTCGCAGACAGTGAGTTGAGCCCAGTTCAGCAGTGTGCCCTTCTGATAAGGAACACTGACAGCACTCGGGGCTCCTTGAGCAAGTGTGGAGCCAACAGGCTGAGGGAAGGGACTGGTCGCCCTGTACAGCACTTAGTGAGCCCAACTTGGCAGCACTGTGTCCAGCTTTGGGCTCCCTGGGGCAAGGCAGGCATGGACACTGTGGAGTGAGTCCAGTGGAGGGCCACCAAGATGACGAGGGGGCTGGAGCACAGGGTAGAGGAGGGAAGGCAGAGAGAGCTGGGCTTGTTCAGCCTGAAGAAGAGATCCATGAAGGGGAATCGTACTGCAGAGTGCAACTACCAAATGGGAGAGTATGGGGAAGGCAGGGCCAGGCTCTGCTCAGAGGTGCACAGTGAGAGGACAGGAGGTGACAGGCACAAGCTGCCACCAGGGAAACTGCAGTTGTTTGTTAGGGGAAGAAAAACTTCGCCACCTTGAGGGTGGTCACACACAGAAATGGGGCCTGAAGGAGCTGTGGAATCCCTGTTGTTGGAGATATTCAAACCTCAACCCTGAGCAACCAGCTCTGCGTTGGCCCTGTTCCAAGAAGCAGCTTTGGTACCAGATGATCTCCAAAGGTTCTGGGAATAAGAGGATGGCAGTATTATGTAACATGCCCTGCCTTTTCACCTGACCTTGTTCTGGACTGCAGCTAGTATAGATTCACTATTCCACTTTTACCTCTGAACTAAGTTTTAGACAGCTGGGCTAAAAGGAAAAAAATATTCCCTCACACAGTTTTCTTGAAGGATTGTCATTCTTTGAGGAGTGTAATGACATCTGATTTGTAAATTATTTTAAAAACCTTCATCAGTATTTTGTTTCTATTTTAAAGATTGTTATTCTTAGAATGAAGCTAACATTTTTCAAAACCAGTATCAGGTGTAATGAGTTAGCATTTCAAGAAAAAAGCACATCTTCAGATACAAAATTTTTCAACTGTTCGCCAAGTATGACAGGGTTAGGGGAAAGCAGTGCATTTCTCCCCAGTAATGCTTTCACTAGTTCAGACCTACATGTGGGTGAAATAAACTGTCAAAGCGGTAGGAATACTTTTTTTCAAGGCCTCTGTAGTCAGACTTAGACTAAATGAACACCTAACTTCCCATTCAAGAGGAATAATGTAGCATCAGAATTTGTCATTGTTTCTATTTTAAATATATTGAGTGTGAAGTCAGGGGTGTAGTGCTTATAGTGATCTGTGCTAGTAGGAACCTTTCGGGACCTCAATCCTACAAACTGTTCACACTACACTTAGTCCGTGAAAAGCATTAAATGGTTCCCTGGTGATATTTTTAAATTCTGGGCAGTGCTTCTAAATAATTATCACTTTAGCTTAAATTTCCTCTGGCTAAGGAAAATAGTCTAATACAAGCTTAGGAATTGCTTCATAAAACTTTGAGGTGAAAGACACTGAAAGCAGTATTGTCCAAAGAATGGCAGACTTAGTACTTAGAGCTCAGGGAAGGCTGTAAAGCAGCATTTCTGAGGAATTGTCTAGCTGTAGGAATATACTAAAATGAAATTTTAAGTCAGTATCAAATGTAACAAAAAAGGAGGCTTAGCCACTCGTTAAAGGAAAAAAAAACAACCAAAACAGGGGCATCCTGTGAATACTTTCCAGTTTTATTCTGCTGCCATAACATAGTCACACAGAAGAATTGTAACAGATCATGCTCTGCATTCAAATCTTTTTTTTTTAATAACATTTAAACAAATCCACTCAAAGAAAACATTCCCCAGTTCTTTATTTGAGGGAATAAATTAAACACAAAACACATACATGCTTGAAATAAATTTTAACATAGATATGAAAAAAAATTTTGGGCAACATTAAAGAATGAAGTCTCAGAACCAGCCTGATGTTCTTATATATTTCAAGTGAATGTAAATTAAAATGGAACATACTTTATTTACTCCTCAAAATTAAGTGCGGCACAACACAGTTTAAGTGCCCTGGCACTAAAATAATATACAAATAATTAATAGACTAGGCCATTGATTAAATTTATCATTTGTTATCTGTTTTTGTAATGCTGTAAGTGTGCATCATCTAAAGCCAAATATGACGGTATTTGTTCATGTCCATGTCCATGTCCATCTCTCTTCTCTAGGATATAGCATTTATCTACCTGCAAAGTTGCAGGTAGATTGAAAACCCCAAATACGAATTAACAGGATGACATTAAGCACATTCACACAAACTTTGGACTGCGGAAAAGGATGCTGAGCTAAACTTTCCAGACCATTCCTACCTGAAATGTGACATGTTTATATGTTAATAAGCTGAAGTTTTGAACAAGGTCAGCTGAAGAAGCCATGGAATATAATGTTTTGGGCTTGTAGTAATAAGTCTTTTTCCCACCACCAGAAGCTTCTCTGCTAATAATTTGTCATATATGGTAAAGAGGGAAAGAAACTTGAAACTCAAAACATACATAGCTCTCAATCTTTCCTAGTTATGCCATAAGGTGGCCCGTAATATAGGAAACTAACAAAGTGCAAATGACTACCAAAGGAAAAATTTGATGTCTGATTATCTTTTATCATCAAAGGGCTTTGTCTTGCTTCTTATAGCCTTTAAATTACAAATTAATGCTTGGAAATGCTTTAAAACTGTACATACTAGCATTTATGTAGAGGAAAATTATGAAAAAATTCACTCTTCCTCGTAATTCATATAACCCAGCTTTAAGAAGCAGAACAGAATATATATCTGAAAAACATCTATTTATATAAACATCTTCACCTTGTAAATTAGAGATTAAATAAAGGGGCTTTAACAATATCATAGCTACTCTAAAACCAAAACATTATGTATTTGAAAAGAAGAATTGCATTTATTCAGTAGAACCCTGGTGGTGATCAAAGCCAGGTTGGGTAAGGCCTTGAGCAACCCGGTCATGTCAGAAGTGTCCCTGCCCGTGGCAGGGTGGGTTGGGACTAGATGATCTTTAAGTTCCATTCCAACTCCTTTAACATTCTAGGATTCTATGATTTTTGTTAAGGTTGCCTGTTTTTTTCCAAGGATACAGCTTTATGGAAATAAGCACTGGAACTCAAAAAAAAAAATAAAAATTGCTGTGTCATTTCTAAATGAAGGGATTAAAAAAAGACAAAAGCCTATGCAGGAGAATGAGGGTGAATAGTGTAAGTGCTTATGTTCATTTCAGAAATCATGAGGTCTGAGGTCTGTATAACAGTGAACTTATAGGGAAGGTATGAGGGAAGAGATCTAAAAGTAGATTTTTTTTTTTTCATTAATACTGTTTTACTGGAGCAGTATTACAACAGAGATCCTGATTATATCTGTCTTATTCTGTTAAAAATATTTTCTTCCCTGTCCCATGGAAAAGCTACTAGATAGATGTTTGGCCTTTACTGAATTAGTCCCTCATGGTTTTTTAATAATATTCTAATAATATAAGAAAAAAAAAACTTCAAGTCAAAGTGCAAGCCACCATCTTTCAGCCCTTCATAAACGTGTTAATATTTTTCCTCATTCATCTTCACTTATTTTTTAATATAAAAGTTGAATGAGTTTAGTCCTTCCCCCCCTACTGTACACTCAAATCAGTAGATCCTTCCTCTACTCGGCCCAAATGAATTTGGAAGTTTGTTTTCAAAATAATCATAGAAATACAATACTTTTAAGCTGTCCTGTTTCTACATGACCAGAAGCAATGAGCAAATCTAAACTACTAGCCTATTATTGTAACAAGAATTCCTCTGAATAAGTAGCAGAGAATATTTCAAAGTTTTTAAAAGTAATGTAAAAGTTAATTTTTCAAGTTTTATTTAGCTACAATAACCTTTCTATGATTGCACTGTAAACTGTTCCAGCTCATTTATTAAAGGAACAAACTTCATATTCCAAAGCCCACTCAGTGAAGCTAAGAATATGAAAAAATATTATAGAAAAGTTTATTGATTGCAAGTGGGAAAACTGATCATTGAGTTTCTTCCTACAATAATTCTAGAATTTTTCTAGGCTATTCAGGCTCTTGGACGCCAATATGAACTCCTATGAGCATAATCAACCTGAGAAGCACAGTTAGTGGAAAATTCCCATCATCATAACTAACTGCCAGCATTTTTAATGCTGTATGTAACTTAGTCTTGTTTTAATCTGACCTTCTGAAATGAAGGTTCACAATAACATGACTTGAGCCATACAGAAGAAGACTCTCGACAAAAGTCCTCTTACTTAAGCTGTGGTCAGGGATTCCAATGTCACTCCTGCTAGTAATACCATAGCTGGAAAAAAGCCCCCAACAATATGTATCATCAGGGCTTAAAAATGGGGTGGGAGGAGAAAGAGGAGAAGATGAAGATTTTATCTTCAGGTACCATATACTATTTCAAGTACCACGTAGGAAAAAGGCAGCAATAGGAAACTTGAAGATAATTTTACCCACAGAAAACAATTAAAAATATATCTATAAACACAAAATTTCAGTACTTAAAATGCTGCTATTTTGCTTGCTTCTCGAACCCCACTCAAGTAAGCTCCTGTAACTGTCTGAGGAAAGTGCCTATTTGTGGCCTGTATTAAAAAAAAAAAAAAAGACGAAAGTTATTTGTTTCTAAAACTATTAGAACAGGATATTTATATACTACCCCTCAGTTAATGGTGTTGATTTAGCAAAACACGATCTTCCATAAGAAGCTGCTCCCCGATAACCTTAATTGCCAGTAGCAAAGATACTTACCTCACCAGCAAAAAAAATTTTTCCTTGTATGTCTTCAGCTATAATGTCATAAGCTTCCCCGCTGCCCCCTGTTTTCACAAAGCTGTATGCCATCTGGAGCCAAGGGTCGTTGCTCCATCGAGTAACAAAAAACTTCACTGGGTCAGGAACCTCCTGCATAATCAACACAGAAGTTATGCACTGCAAAGAAAAGTTCATAATTGCATAGCTTTTTCTCACTAACAGTTTCTTGTAATCTGTAGAGTATACAGTAGTATTAAGTACAGATTAGATTGCCTTTGGGAATTAAATTCTGGGTTTTTTTTTATTTTAGTACTAACCACAAAGATAATTTATTTTTCTAGACTTGCCTGATGCCTGAAACATCACAACTGCACTGTTCTGAATGCAACAAATCTGCATATTGTAATATACCTAGAACTACACATGAGAAAAAAAAATTCTCAAAATACAGACATACTCTTGTAAACAAATAATACAGATAACATCATTCAACATGTTTATATGAATAACGGAAGTGATTTTTGCCTTGGTTAGGCATAATGCTTTGCTACTTCTAGCTTGTTACATCTCAAAATGCAGTCATTTTGGAGATAATTTTATTCCAATAGAGAAATAAGATAACTTATCTAAGATTGGGAAAAGCTGTCTTGAGAACTAGGTTCAGGAGAAAACAAAGACCAGAAAGTCAGTGTCCGTAGCTGAGCCATGACAGTAACACCGTGTAGTCTTTGTCACATTGCAGCATGCAAATTCCACACAGTTCTACCAAAAAGAGCCTAGATAACACTTGTAAGAAGGCTTAGTCAGCTACTGCTGTGGCCCCCTCTGGAGGAGCTCATGACAAGTTAACAGAAGCACCTCTGGTTGCCTGTTGCAGAATATCTGGTATTGACAAATACTGTTACATTCAGGCAGCGCACGAGAGACTAAAGCTCAAGGAATCTAGACAATGACTAGCCAAGTATGGCAAGTTTCACAGGCATCCCAGAAGAAGTTCTGGTACGCCCCTGGACACCATCTTGTCTTTGAAAATCCTGCTGCGTTGTTGACAGGTGACTGAAATTCACAACTGCTATAAACCACAGAGACAGGCATCAAAATCACTCTTCTAGACCAGAGTGGCACCAAAACCAAAGACCCATTTGCTACATTCTCATGAGACCAAAATAGCAGGTATGTGGACTTTCATTGCACATGGTTCTAGTAACAACAAAGTCATTACCAAAAGTATGTTTTCTAGGAATAGTTTGTTTTCAGATGCTGAAGTTCCTCCAAGATCATTAATTCTAATATCTGAACCATCAGTAAAACCTGAGAGATCACCCCTGAACATTAGTAACCCAGTCATTCCTTGGGATCTAACTGCTCTGTTTAAATTAACAGAAGCATTACTATCTCTAGAGTAGAACGCAAATAACATTGCTAAGTGACAGTGTTATGCTTGCCCCAGATTTCTCTGATTTTCCTATTAGTTTTTATCCTAAAAATGATGATCTAAAAATGATGATCTAGGGGAAGGAAAAAAGGCAGAAATTTTTATCTAGTGTTTTTTTACAATCAGGATGTAGGGCCCATGCTAGATAATTTTGCCTATACCTCGAGGTAAAATGTCAATGGTTTTCCTATACCATATGAAATACTACATTTCAAAGCTTTCTGTCTGTTGGCAAGTTAATCATCTCTTAATAAGAGGCTTCTCTTACCTGCTCCTTAAACAGCTCTCTGAGTACAGTCATACACTGTTGCAGTACTTGTTGATCATCTAAATTCTTAATGGTTACCACAGCATCTCCAGTGACCACTGACATTAAAATGCTTTCTTTGCCCTAAAAACAAGACCTTATTAGGTTATTAAGTATTTCTTGAAGAGTCTCTTTTAGTTGGTATTGCAAAGATATTTTCAGCTGCAAAGTAACTTTTGTTCTAGAGAAAGTGGGTTTGATTCCTTAGAATAAGGGATGCATATTCTACAGTATTTATGCTCAAATTATTACATCTTCTGATGTCTTGTTCACAGATATGATACAGTCAGCCCCTTTTACAACTTACTGAATTAACTGAAAACTTCCTATCTGCCTATGTAAAGGCTATACAAAAAAAAAAAATTACATTTATAGTGTTATTCTTTGTGTGACCTCTTAAGCTCCAGTTCCTTGCCAAACTTCTATCTCAGCTGTACTCCATTTTCAAAAGGTGGTGACAAAGAGAATCTATTTAAATAATAGTTAGATATGTTTTGGATTAGGCCAATACTAAGTTCTTACCAGCAGATTTTGGACCAAGAAATGAAAGGTCAAGTCTACTGACATTTTGTTCCACTTCAAGACATCTGCTACCATGCAGAAGTTTTAGAGGTGAAGTGGTGACTAGGGAAGAGCACACAGGTTCTCAACTCCTTTAAAGAACTCTCCCTCTCTTGTTTATATAAGGCAATTCTTCTGTTACATAACTTGATAACTAGCAGGGAATAGTTATTAAGGAAATTAAGAATTCTGTCTAGTGTCTCTGGACAGCACCAGCACACTGAACCTCACGTAGAATGAGCTTAAAAGTACTGGAGAGAACTCATTCAAGCAAAGTTGTATGCAAGTACAAATAATGTAGTAACAGAGCACAATCTTCACAGGATAGTTTCCTTTTGGAGTAAAACATAAGGTTATAAAATGGCCTTTTGATTGATGCCAAGTGGTAAGCAGCAGTTGTTGTAAAAGTATGTAAAGGTATAATATAAATGTGTGATGTGTCTGCTTGGAACTGGCAGGGAAGAGAAACATGATGTCAATGCACTAGTTTGAATTTGCTTTGAAATTCATGAGCTTGGGACTGAGCCTAGACCTCAGTTTCCTGCAAAACTTGATGTTTGTCTTTTCATCTGCTATTGCACATAGTCATTCAGGCTACTGCAAGCCTTTAAGTATTAGTAAGCTAGCATGATCTTTTTAACAGGGTTTTTAGCTGATTTAAATAAGGGAACAGAAGTCCTAAACAGGAAGTGAGTGGTAGACTTTTTCTCACTTTGGTAGATCTACAGTAAGGTATTAGAGACTTGTTTTCTGGATAGTTAGAGAATATACTTGCTTGTATATTACTTTGTATCCAAGCAATGGAAAACATTCCCATTTATTACAACAGAGTATCAATCAGCTTTTCCTTGACAAACAGCACTGCTTCCACTGCTTCTAACAGTAGCAAAGGTGGAGGGAAGAAGAAAAATTTCGCTTTTCAGTAATTATTGCACCTAGAATCCAAAGTGAATTTCTGAAGGGCCAACAGAAAATACAGCTAGCCTATCATACCTCTGGATCCATGTCATAGAAAACACTAAAGAGCCCACGTTGGCTAGAATTGGGTGGAACATGACCAAAAAAATCAGCTCCTTGAATTTTACTGTCCCAAAATCTGTAAGGAAACTGCAAGGCAATCTAGAAGGAGAGAGAGAAAGATAGAATTAAACCTTTTCATACCACAAAACTCATAATGGGGTATGGTATATGTTCTTCTAAATCTTTTTCCTTCCTGTTTCCACTCATTTAGAGACACACCGTTCTATAAGTGGGTCTCAACAGAGAACACATGGGCCTGTCCTCCAAGGGAGACAGGCAAAGAAAAAAAAATGCTAATCTCATAAATTGCAAATGCACAGACGATCAAATTCACAATGGAATTCACTGTGTAAAATGCCCAAGAAATTCAGCAGATTTTTTTGCACTTAAGTGATCCCCATCCTGTGTTGGGAATTTCTGAATCTTGCCTTTAAATTTCAACTTTGCTATAAATCCTGTTTCTGACATTACTCTGTTACTGTTTTGTTCTAAGCACAGATCTTACAAGGGATCTTTTCAGGAAAGGCTGTGGTTTTGCACTGGGAAAGGGTAAGAGATTTTACACTGGTCAAATACACAACTTTCAGTATTCTTCGCAAATAGTTTATGCATTTATTAGGTTAAAAAATAAACATGTTATTGGAATTTTGGAAGATCCAAGACCAGTATGAAGGTTTGCTCAAAATTAGGCAGAAAGTGTTTAAGTCTTGAAATTATTCTGCAAACAATTTCTTTAAAAACACCATTAAGTTGGGAAGTCTAAGAAACAGAAATACATGTGATCCTTGATAATGTTTTGCTCTTCTTGGCTACTGTATAAGAGTAAACCCAAATGCATCATAAATCCTGAAAAATACACTGCAAGAGCAACAGGGACAAAACAGCCAATGTTTCTATGAAAAGAAAACTAAAGATAATATGACATCACTTACCTTCTCAATGACTCCTGCTCCCAAACTATTAATGGCTTTAATTTTTTTTTCTGACAGTGGAGGATTAAACTGAATGGCATTTTTCTGAAGAAGGGCCAGTGGTACAGTCACTAATACCTGAAAGAAATAGCTACAATCACAACAGTAGCAAAACCTGAACACTGCACTTAAGCCTCACACCATCCTCTTAACTATCTTGGATTATTCTTGTAGGATGCAGCATAATAACTCACCAAACATTTCTAGATTAGTGTCTGGTGTTATTTCCCATTAAATGGAAACACATGCCTTACATTCAAGTGAGAACAGATCCCACAGTTCACTGATTATAAGTCGTATTCTGTTGAATTGCTTGTATCAGAGTGGCTAATCATGCTACTAATACTTCCTGTAGATGATAGTCAATGGCTTTCAGATTAACAAAACTGTCTTTGTGAAAGGAGAGAGAGATGGTCAGTGTTTTGGTTTGGTTTTAATTCCTTCACAGATCCCTTCTCTTGAAAATATGCTCAGTAACACTGTTGATGTCAATCCAATCTTTATCAAGTTTATGTATCATTTTAAAAATTACTAAAAGCTAAATTATGCAGCACGAAGAAGGTGGGGATACAGGGAATAAAGGAAACTGAGATATATGGATTGTCAAATCCTGCACACCGAAGTGCAGATTTTAACAGGGCAGATTCACATGCTAAATGGGGTAAAGCTGAGCAGGGAATGCAACCAGATGAGAAAAATATCACTTCAAAAACCAGATAAAAATCTATTAGCTTCACATTTTTATTATTAACTTTATAGTACTTAATTCTTCAAATCAGCTTGTACTCAAAAACTCAAGCATGCTCACCAAAAATTAGGCCCTAGGACACCCAAATACAGGTCACTGGAATACGTGAGTATTCATCTTTGAGTGGGGACAAACTGGACTAAATAGTCTTCTGAGAAGGAAAGAAAAAAGACAAAAAGGGCATGTACTGTGTATTCCCTAAAATCTTGAAGCATATTGGATACCTTTTGTGTTGTCCACACTGTTCCATCTGCAGTAGTGACGTGCACTTCTTCACCAGAATAGTCAATGCTCTGTACCTGTTGAAAGACAAATAGAAAGATTATACTACAAAATATACATACACAATGCAAACTCCAACAAGAATAGCTAATATAGCACCAGTCTGCAAACTAGAAAGTGAGGAACTTTCAGTATTTCCAGAGATACTGAAAGACAAAAAATAGCCTCTATGGAAGCTGAAAAAGAAAAATCAGGATTCCAACATATAAAATCATCATATCATAGTATTTAAGTACTGACAGTCCTCTAAGAGGATTTCTAGAAATGCAGAAATTGTCCTCTTTTTTTTTTTTCAAAGACCAATTGACATAATCACAGGCCCAGATTTGCCTGGTCCAAAAGAATACGTAGATATCACTGGGTGCTTCAAAGCAATTCAAGACTAGCACTGCTTCCAGACTCACTGGGAAATTCAGCCGGATGTCCAGCCCTTCTGCCAGCTTCTCAATCACAGTTGAATATCCCACAGTTAGAAGAGTGTGATCTCCAGCAAATTGGGCAAAAAATTCATTGTGGTCCCATGAGCGTGCAGATACCTGTGAACAGAACATAACTAGCTGTTGCTACTGGTGAGGGGACATGGGTAGTAGCAAAAGTCCCACAGTTTAGAAGCCACCCTAGTCCCCTTTGCAAGTGGGAAAAGAAGTTTATCACCAGAATTTATGGCAATGCTGAAAAAAGTATTTACCTAGTGCTACTATACAACACATGAATTGCTGGATTAAGAACAGTCATAACATGGGTTGGTCACTAGCAGGTAGTTTATAGTTCTGCTTGGAAGAGAAAACAAGGAAAGTAGTACAAAAATCCAGGTGGATTGCAGTGTATTTACTTCAGTTGCCTATATCTAGCAAAGAAATCAGATTTTACAGCCTTAGGACTTCATATAAAAATGGAAATACCTTATTTCTGAACATGAAGGGGAAAATAAGACACAAAAAAACTCAATGGAATTTTTCTGTCACTTTGGAGGTTCTTCCATTATAGCTTTCATTGGCCTTCTCCTCCAACCCCTGCAAACTTACAGGTAGTAAAACAGTGGTATTTGCACTAAGCAATTACCACTTAGCAGTGAAAAGTCTGAAGCAATTCTCAAATTGCTACTCAAATGCCAATTCCTATCACAGCAGTTGCATTTACTCCATATTTTAATTTTAAAAGTGAAGGTAAGATAGATCTTTCTTATTTCCCCTGAGTGCTCATGGAGTATGAAAACTTGACATGTCAAAATATTTTCCACTGACTGCCATGGTACAGCACTGTCTTGCAGATTTTTGTTAGGTTCTTATGGCCTTCTCGGTTCAGATCAGATTTGTGCATCTGCACGTATCAACCAGCTGTCCCACTGCCACAGTACAATTGACCCTAAATATCTTTAAATGTGGCAAAGGCACTGAGTAAATAATGCACTGCAAACAACGTCATACTTTGGTATTTCCTGAAGCTGCTTGGTTAAAACTGAAGTCACGAGGAGAGTCAAGGATCACACGGCCAACAGAATACCTAGGAGTGGAGAACTGGGGCCCACCATCGGGGTGTTGGAACACTTCAGAAGTTAAATGCATTTATTCTCAAGATACCTAGCAGGGTAGAGAAATACCTCAGTTTTTAAACGCAGAACTGAGAAGCAGAAGTCACACACAACATCTGAGGAGGAGTAACTCTCCTGTGAATCCTACCACCCAGCATCTCGGCAAAATGCCCTACTCTGTACTAACCAGCTACTCTCAACTTCTACATTAAAGAGAATCTTGGTGGAAGCACATCAAGAGCTCCCATCAGATTACCTAAGGCAGTGCTGGAGTCAGTGTCTTAGTGCTTTTAAAGAACAGGTTAGGGATGTAGGAACAGTAGGGATAGCTGATTCTTCCTCTGGGGCCATGGAATGGATCAGGTGACTTCTCAGTGTTACTTCCAACCCTATTTTCTATGGAGCTCAGCCACTTCAGAGCGCAGCTGTCAAAACTCACCTGAGAGAGATTGCTGCCACAGGCATACTCCAAATTACTGAGATGGAACTGTAATACTTTTTCTTCCAGCTCACTGAACTGGATACCAGACTCCTGAATAAAGGCTTTATAGATCTCTTGTATTTTTTCTGTGAAAGAACATGTTTAAAATAAGAATATATCACAATTCATCATAAGTCCTACTGCATTTCAACACACTATTCTCTGGACCACAAGATTTTCAAGCTTGTTGCTAATTTGTACCAAGATGTTTTTCTTCCCATAGAAATGAAAAAAAACAAACAGAACAAAACCAAAACCAAATGACAAAAAACCACCACCCACAAGATCTTTCCAGTGATAAAGTACAACTTTGTTGTTTAATCACAGGTTTCCCTAGTAAAATCTTGTTCGAGAAGGAAACATACAGAGCTTCAGGAAAAATAGAGGTTAAAATTACAGAGAAAAAAGAGAAAACGAAACATACTGTGCATCAGCACAGCTGAGCTAGCCAGTTGAGATAGAAGAGAAATTAACTGCTTAAGTATCATCAATATACAGTTAGGATATTTCAGGTAAAATACACTTTAAGATAATGGAGGATACTTGCAAATAAACCCTGATTAATTTTTACAAAATCAAAAGAGCTCAGAAATTGGATCTAGAGTTCACTGAAGAACATAGAAGTTGCTAATTCTGTCTTACAGAATCTGTGCTGAGGAGATTTGGGAGGCAGACATTTCTGAGCAAGTTTATTTTTTGCTGATGAGCTTGCACGCTGTAAGTGTAGTGGGAGGCGTTACCAATGGAGATGGGACTATTCTTGCCAGCAAAAGGCTTTGATCAGGCTCTTTTTTAGGCAGATTAGTCAAAAAGTATAAGAGTTACAGCTAGCTGTGGCCTGCTTCAGCCAGAAGGAAGTCTTTTGAACTGCTAGTGCCTCTACCTGTGTTGAAAAAGCTCCATCATGAAAACAAGATACTACCTGAGAAGTCTCTGTTGGATTTAAGGTCAGATATGCACCTTGAAAAATGTCTGATGTAAGAGCCAGTTTAACATAAAAACTATGAACTCAGTCAACATCTTCATTTTGCAATACATCTCCCACTTACCACCAAGAGGAACATCTTGATGTTGGGTTTTATCTTTTCTCCACTCAGAGACGACATCTAGGATGGCATTGAAATGAAAGTCCATACGTTTATCAATAGTGGGATCTGTTATCCTTCCGCCTTCCTGGATCAAGTCACATTTCTCCCCTAGTTTGTGCATTTTAATGCCAAGCTTAAGAAAAAGACATTTTATTGCTTTTTTAAAGATGGAAAAACTACAGTGCCTATCCTGCCCAAAGTTATTTAAAGCAAGATGAATCCCTCAGATTTAAGTGATACCACTTAAAACACATCCACAACTTTAAACAGTCAGATTAACTCGTTTTCCTAAAACTGGAATACCAACAATCCTATCTGTTAACTGTTCACAAATCATTTTCTCCCACTTTTCCACCCTTCTCTTTATTGGGGATTCACAGAAACCTCCTCTCCAACTTTTCTATCAGGCTAGGTGCTAGTATAGAGATGCAGAGTCTGGTAATCAAACATGATGAACCAGTCTCCTTTATTTCTACCTCAATTTATTGTCTAAATTACAATTAAAGTCAGTTCCTTTCTACAACTTCCTGGTGCCCGAGGCCTAAACAGTTCCCTGAATTCAGGAACTGACAGGATATTGCTTGCCGGTTATCACTAATTTTATTAACAACCAAGCAAAGAAAGAAATTACTTGGAATTAAAGCTAATACCTTGCTTTGCTTGTCCAACTTGCATTGAACACAACAAAGCTAAATCAGAATAAAAACGTTTTTATGTTCTACAGAGTCAGTCTGGAGAGAATAGCTCAAACATAGTACTAATTTCTTCCTAGTGCCTTGTTACTTAGGGCGTGCTCCAGTGTCTGTTACATATCCTCACATCTCTCTAGGCTGTTGGTCACCCCTGCAGATCTCAAGATACAGTTGTACTTCCAATGAAAGATGACGTTAAATGATCACAAAAGGAGGAGTACCCAAAGTGTATTACAGAAGTCATTGTTCCTCACCTAATAAATAAAACATGATTTTTTTTAGATAAAAATAAAAATTTCCTCATGACACTATAGGGCAAAATGGCATGGGCTGGATTTGCATGCATCTCTGAACAAAGTCCATACTCAGCTTCTACTTGGAGAAATTCGGCTGCCTGCTTCAAAAAACCCTGAATCAAACCAGCAAATAATAATAACTTTTAAAGAAATTGAACTGCAGCATGTTTACATCAGTAGTTGTTAGGCATATTAATCTTAATTTGCATGGAATTCAACTAGAAATATCAAGGCAGAACAAAGGCAAGACTGTCACAGAAGCAACAGCCTCCCACAGTAAAGCCTTTCTCAGCCCTAAGGAACTCTGCTGGGGACCTTCTACATTACTATCTCTAGAAAAAGGAAAAAAAGTGGTTCTGAAGCTGGTGCCACCTTGTTTTACTTTACATAATGTGCTTGAAACCATTCTACATCCCTTCTCCATTCCCAGCTGTTATCAAAGATATAATAGCAATGTGGAGTTTACTTACAAGGCAGGACAGTGTTTAAATCATGTCACAAAAAAGGACTCCCACCCTTACCCAGCCAGCTGAACCTGGCTTTGACAACAGTTTTTCACTAGTGATAATTTATGACCACTGCAGAGAACCCACTTGCTCACACATTAGTGCCACTGGGTTGTTGACACATCCATTGACGATTTGTGCACCTCTTCCAACAGTGACTCCTGTGAATGTCTTATCATCCCACACTCGGCCACCAATTCTGTCTTTAGCTTCTAAGATAATGACCTACGGCAAAAGGTAGCTTAGTAAATTGTAATATTTAATTATATTAAACATATTTGTTCAACTCCAGAGCAAAGGAGAAAACAAAACACAAAAAAACCCCTGAGCAATCCAGCAATGCTAATAATCTTAACACTTTATTTTCATTTGTGGATCCTTTGTAGTTTATTTATGCATTCAAATTGTCTTTTAAGGGTTACCCTTTGGGATATACACATACAAAGATAACTGTTACTTTAGAAACAACCCTTCTTTTTAAAAAAGCTAAAGACCTATTTAGGAAATTTCAAAATTGGAGCTTCAGGCATGCTACAGGCTACTAAACACAATAATCTGGGTACAGTGTCTTTATAAAATATATGCTGCATGCTTTGTTGAATCTTAGATACAAATAAATGCTGTTTTTAAACATCAGATTTACTCAGCAAACCCCCAGATTTTACAAATTAATTAGGATGCCCTATACATACATGTTTGTAACAAGAATCTAGGGTTTTTTTCATTTTGATGAAGAATACTTTAAAAGCAGAGGAAGTCTGATTTTTTAAAGTAATGTACTCTAAAGCTTCTTACCTTAATTCCAAAGTTGTGCAGTTGTCGGGCTGCTGCTAATCCTGCTGCACCAGCCCCAACAATAATAACAGATTTCTAAAAAATATTAAAATATTTAAATAAATAAAAATAGTTAGAGCTAAAACAGAAATTATCATTTCACTCTCATTTCTCTTTTTGCTAACATTAAAAATATCTGTAGGTTTCAGAAGTCTGGGCTCTCTTGTCCTGTGAAGTAACCCGTGATAACTTTTAAAGATAACAGTACATTTAATACAGAAAAAAATATCAATGGTAGCTTTGAAAATAGCTAAAAGTTTTTAAGGACTTCAAAAGAAGATGCCTCAGTTTCTCTTAAGAGAAACAGATGAAGTTATCAATAACAAAAGCAGCAAAATCTAACTGAAGATAACAGACAAGAATCACACTTACCTTGCAATGATTTCAATCACAGATTGGGTTGACCAGTAAAAACTATCTTATACATTAAAAACATATAAAAATACACTTTCTAAATGTAATCAACTTAGAATTTCTAGAAGGTATTCCATTACAGAATACATTCATCTGATAAGTTTTGGGTGCTGTCAACCAAATTGCTAGTCATCAACATGTACCCTTTAATCATAGTTTTTGCAAACCGACATAGAATAGGAGTTGCCTCATCTACGGGAGCAGAGGTGTACTACAGGGTTAAGCCACAAGAAGAACATAAGGATATTGTGCATTTTTCACACAGTTCTCATCCATCTGAACAGCTCGTGGGAAGCACAAATCCATAGGACTGAATTCCACAGATTTTAGTGGGAAAAAATCCTTGTTTAATGTCTGTAGCTTCCATAACCATTGAAGGCATTGCCATGTGTTATCTTTTAGATGTAATTTTACCTATCATTCCAGCCATTTAGGCAAACGAGAAAAAAAATCCAGAACCAAAAAAGTATTATATATGCCATGTAGTTTTATAACATTAATAATGTAGGGATTATTACAGCAACTTACGCTGTGGTATTCCTTAGGAAGAAGGTACTGGTCAGGACCGACTGACAAAAGCCCTGTATTGATTAGCCCTTTCCTTGTCATAAAATAAAGTATCCTCTCCATTTCCTGTACACAGCGAATACGCACAAGCCCCCGAACAATGATATGATGGATACATTTTTGAGGGGTAAGAGCCTCCTGCAAAGAAGAAACAAAGCGTAGAAAATGTTGATTTTCTAATATTCCATTTTTTCATGTGTTTACATCGTATTTAAACTGCAAAGCATGGTAAAAAAAAATCGTGATTCAGGCTTCTGAGAGCATTTCAAAACCTGGAAATTTCTTGCTAGCCAGCTTTACACAGCAAGGGAACAATTTATTGAGATTAACATGGAATAAAGCCAAATGAGTCTACAAGATACTCCCGCAAACTCCATGGTGTGTTTCATTAGTACAGGAATGGTATCGAAATGGATTCCTGCTTGCAAAACGAATCTACCTCGTGGCAATGCTCACAATGGCATTCCAGTAAAATCCATTCCAAATGGCATTCCAAGTAAAAAATAGATTAATATCCAAAACCTTCACATAAATGCAGACATCCATATCAGAAAGCTGTGGTATGTGAAACGTCAGCAGTCCTACTGAAGACAGTGTCATAGAATTAGCCTAAGTAAAAAGACACCTGTCCAACAGTCAGGTGAAAAAAAAACAAAGCATCCACAAAACACTGTTTGGAAGTGCTTAAGCATCCCTTTAAAAAGTTAGACAGCTGGGCAGACAGAGTAGAGTTTTAATACTTCAAAAACTTTTGTATTTTACTGCAAAAGGATCTTCTATGCATTAAATCTAAAAAAAAAAAAAACCAAACAAACCAAACCAACCAAACAAAAAACCTCAACCCCAAACTCCCCCAGAAAATAGCCAATCTTAGAATGGATTCTCAAAAACACGGGAGCAATTTTTCTGTTGCACAAGGAGACATCTAAGAAGAGAGTTCACATCCCAGAAAAGTTGCTATTATTTTTAAACAAACAAATTAACTATCAGCATCTCTTACCTTGCAGTTTGTGTACCACAGAGCCAAAATCAAGTTTCTCAGCGCCAAGTACATGGTAGGGTCTCGTGAATATTCTGGGAACTCATAGAGCTCATCCAGTTCCATGACATCCGGCCTCACACAAAGTGCTTTCCCACATTCATTGGGTTGGTAAAAAGGCTGGAAATACTTGTTCATGCCTGCAACTGAATAAGGACACACCAGGAGCTAGTCATATTCCATCATATCTTCATTATATCCTTTTCCATCTAAGATGATGCATTGAACTCATGCAGATAAACAAGTAGGGAAGCTTTCCAGCCTCTAGCCACCTCCAGAATGATATCATTTATATTGCTCTCCTCTCTCCTGCCCTCTAGGCTGTGCAGCATTAATTATTGTCCTGCTGCCTGATGGGTACACCTTGGGACCTATCAGAGCTGTTTTGTCAAAGAACAGTATGTGCACTCCGATGCCAAGAAGAGTCCAACAACGAATAGGACCTAAATTCAAGTCTGAGGTCTACCATCACTGTATAGGCTCAGGCAGCATTCTGAACTCCTTTCTTCTTCAACTCCTAATACTGTCCAGAGTGGATAGTAACTAAAAGTAATCATTTCCACGTGTAGCTTTGGTAGCTCTGTAAAATGAAGTTTTCTGCTAAGCAGATAAATATCTGTTGAACAGATGAACTGATTTATTTTGAGCCCCTAAGGAGAGCAAAGCCTGCTAAGACAACACAGAAGCTGAACTTCCCTCAAAGCACTCTCTCTGAGATGAGTATGGGAATCCTGAATTACCTTTCTCCTTACCTGACCTATTCTGCACATCCACACTCCCAAGTTGTCGCTCTCAGAGCTGTCACTAGCAAAAACAAATAACCTAAACAGAATCTGAGTCCCTTAAGAAATCAAATCCTTTTTTCCAAAGCCCCAAAGATCCACAATATCAAACCTAGCAGAATCCTGTTTTGTTTTTTTTTTCATAGATCTTCATTTCCTTAAGAATACAGTCTTTAAGAACTCACATGTTAATTTCCTGTTTCTATAAACAAATTACAGGTGGTACACAAAAAGACTTTGCAGTCTATGCTTACTCCCTAAAGAAATGCCATAGGAAATGTATTACCTTTATCTTAGAAATTAGTAAATGGCATCAAAGAAATACAGAGGGAATCACATAGAGTGTGTATATTAGTGCCAAGAACAGAATCAGTATTCTGAATCAGAAGAATTATGTGCCTTATGAACTCAGCTATATGGCAAAATTTATCACACCTATTTAAGCAACAGAGCCCTGCAGATGGCCCTTACCAGTCAAATTAGGCACGCTCTTTAAGTGCTCTAACTTCACAAGGTTGGATTCACCAGGTAACCGATTAGTGCTGGTACAGGATGGACTCATGCCCACGCAGTCTGGATAATATGCAGCTAGAAAGGGAGCTGCCACACTGTCTTTCAGCAAAGGAGGGAGTATGAGCATGGAGTACCACCAATGGTCTGAAACTTCAGCCACTCTCTGGCCAAGCGGAGAAGTGAAGGAAAGAGGGGAGAAGAGAACACGTCAGTACTTTGAAAACGATGGAAAATGAACCATTCTCCCCCCTCCCTCCAAAACTGAGACCAAAAAGCACTAGAAGTACCAATCTCAGAATTGCAAGTCATAAAGACATTTTCTCTCCCTCTTTCCCCTTCCTCAGCCTGACACAGAAAACCTCTAGTATTGATCTCTTCCTCAGAAACGGAGCTGACACTTCACAAACTCCACACCCGCGTGGAAAGCAAACGGATGAGACATGCCATAACACATCTATGCCTTATGCCTTTTATAAAACATTTGCAGTCATTTATGCATCCAGAAATCTGAACTTAGAAAAGTCTACACTAACTGATCAATTTAATTTCGATTCTATTATCCCCACCAAAGACCTTTTAAAACCCTAAGAAACACTATTGATTCAGCCTTAACTTACAAGTAAACATGCATTAAGGACACAAAGCCAGAAAGCTTCGACAAGAGTCAACAATAAGCCCGAATACGTTCCCTGGGATAGAGGTACCTCGAGTACACTTGTCAACATTGGCTTATTGAACATCAGATCACATGAAATCTGAAATGCAGGGTTACATGATCATAAGCCCCTTGAAACACCAACATACATCTTGTATGCACATTTCGTATTATGAGGGAGAGGAGAGAGAAAACATGTTTAGATGTTCTCATGCAGTATTCAAAAAGAGGAGACTAGCTTGACTAAAGATAGAAACCACCTGAAAGACAAGGAAATTTTACGATGAGGAATTTTATTTGAAAGCTGGCACCTGAATACTGTTTTGCCTGATCAAAAATGAGAATTAGGAGTAAACCTTGAATCACAGGCCACAACTCAAAGACACCATGAACCACTTGAAAGCTAGTTGGTATGGTAAGGAAAAAGAGGAAAAAGATGAGAAAGTAGAAGGCCCTAGGCTCTGTTGCAAAGAATGTCTGACAGTTTCCTGAGCAAAATGCATAAATACTGACATAATTGGCCAAAGGACCAAAAAAAAAAAAGAAAAGAAATATGCTGTGCTATAGGATTGATTTCATATTCTAAGACAAATGAGGAGGACAGCCACTACTCACCAAGTCCTCAGGCATGGAACATTGGTCTGAGCCCTCAGTCTGAAAGAAAAGTGAATGGTATCATAGCTTTTCTTAAGCTGTACAGCAAAAATTAAATATAAACCAAAGTAATTTTCTATGGCATAGTTCTTTAAACTAAAAAAAATGTTAGTGTGAGCCTTCTGTAGCAGAGCTGATTGTAAACAAAAAAATAGTAGAGAAACATATGGGTTAAAAACACAACACACCACAAAGCAAAAGCACGCAAGAAAATGTTTCTCATTTTTTAAGTTAGTTTCTACTGATCAGACATTAAAATATACATTCTATTCCACAAAATGGGGTGGAACACTGAAACAAACAAATTAAGAAAAAAATACAGACTTTTATAGAAAAATTCTCAAAATATCCCACATTTTCCACAGTGACTCTTCCAGTAGAGACTACAGAAGAGAGTTTCTCATTTATTTAAAGAGTATCTCTATAACAGAGTTTCAAGATTAAATGCTGACCCTTCAGATTTTCACATAGTCAGTATTTTCAGGTTATGTTCTTTCATGCTATACGTGCCATATAGATTCTATGGCACTTTAAGGACTCTTTAAAGACTCTTTCAAATTTCAGGAGTTACCCTCATGACAAAGCTGAAACTTTTCATGTAAAGCCCATGACAGACTTGATAGAAATTCAGAAAAGCTCACTGAGCTTTTCAAATGCTTTCCTCAATAACGAAGAAAGGCCAAACATAAATGAAATGAACATTTTGGTGTATGTCTATTTTGTACATGCTGATAATCTTTCCATAGGTTCAGAATGAAGGATTTTACAATTAACTGTGCAGATAAAGATATTTCAGATACTTTTTTCTTGACATTTCCAGCCAGAAAGGTCCAAACAGTATGTAGGCCTGTCACTGCACAGCTCTCCAGGCCATCAGACTATCACTTTGACATTAGAGACACTAAGCAGCAAACAAGAAGAAATTAATTTCTGCAAACAAGAAATACCAGCTTGTTGTTATGTTTCAATATGAGCAAAACTGTTCTGTGTTACCTTGGTGGAATTGTTCAGTTTCATACCACATCTGTATGTTTTTGCTATTTGTGGTGTCAGCTGGATTTCCTTTGTCAGCTGACGCCATTTACCACAGTCTGGCTTTGTGCACTGCACCTACAAGTCAAGAAACAAACATGTTTTTACTTGTTGCTGTCTGATTACAAATAAGATTAATGCAACCAGTTAGGAAAAAGTAAGATGTGAGAAAGTTGTCAAATATAATTGTTAAATTCATTCTCCTGTAATCATCAGGTCATAAGTAAGGCATTTGATATACAGAAATCTTGTGCCCATCTCCAGCAAGACTGAATTTCTGCACAGAACCTAAGGCCAAAATTGATTCAATGCCCAGTTACTATGGTTTTCAGTGGACTTTGCAAATATTACTTCAAAAACATATTCTTCACCACTTAAAGAAAAAACCAATCAAACAAAAAACTAAATAAAATACCCCTACCACCAAACTTCTTTCCATTCCCATCTTTCTTCTTCTCCTCTTTTTACCCAGGAAATACAAAATCTGTTTTTGAAGTCTTTCACACTCACACTTTCCCATAGCTGGTACACTCCCTTTCTCTGCCAAATCTTATTCTACCTGAACATCACACATCGTAGCTGCTACTTCACAGAAAAGTAACAGGCTGGTTTTTGTGATGTGTGGAGAAAGTCTCCAACAGTGGAGGAGCTGATCAGAATTATTATCTTGAGCTTTTCCACAGTCCTCTAATACTAGAAAAAAACCCCATAAAAATTCAGTTGACCTGCCAGTTGAACAGCAGAATACCAGAAACACATCAGAACATCGCATTCTTATTAAATAAATGACCTTTTATCTTACCCAGTAAGGAAGCTGTTGATCAGCCATAAAGGCTTTTGGACTGGGCTCACTTTTACCATTACTTGTCCAAATCCTTTTCCAGGCAGTGTATTTCTCATAACCATCTTTATGGCTAAGAGAAAAGAAAACAGCAAGCAGTCAGAAAATTGAATGTCTAGTTCACTTCAAGCAATAGCAGTTATTCTAAAATTGAACATTTTAAAAAGGACAGAGAAATAAGGCTGTAGAGAATATCGTATTTTTCCTGTTAAAAAATGAGAAAGTCATGGTTCTTATGACAGTAATAAATTGCATCCTGACCATTATGTCCTCTTGCTTATGAACACACTTCCTTGTGTCTAAGGCCTGGACTGAGTGATAGGTGCTGCTGAGCACATAAGCACACAAAAGTCTTCGTAAGGACTTAGGCTGGATGTAACGCCCACTCAAACAGGAAGGAGCGTGAAGCTGAAAGCACTCTGTGAGCCTGACAAGAGTCTTCATGGTCACTGAACCGCAAGAGTTAAATCTCCTTGCTGATTTGATGTTACAGAGAGGCAAGGTCTCCTGAACTCACATTGTAAAGTTAGTTTGCTTTATAAAGGAAAATAGATTTACTTAAAACTGTTCTCATAATTTCGTATTTTCTAACATTGTTTTTTAAAAAGACAAAAGCTTCAGAACAACTGCACATACAAACCAGCCCGCCTAAACCAACCAGTTTTGTTCACACTGCTCTGTTTCAATTGATTAGTCCATACAATACTTGCAGTTTCAGCACCAATATCTAAGCCTCACTCTGACTAAAGCAAGCACAGAAAACAAGTCTTTGTATTATATTTATGTACATGATTTTTCAACAGTTGTAACATCTGCCAAATTTTAATAAGCTCTGAAAAGATGCAACCTGAATTGGCAAATCTACCTTCGGTAATAGTGGTCAAAACATTCATTGCAGAAGTGTTCCCCACAGGAAAGATGATACCATCTAGATGTATACCCATTTTTAGCACATCTGTAATGCAGGAGACATAAAAATAGCTTTACAATACATTTAGAAAAATAAATCTATTAACAGTAGCACTTTCTAAAACATGAACAAAATATTAAGAACAAGCCAGGGCTTTATGTTACATTCATGAAGGCTGACTTGCATAAAGGACTACAGTCATACAAATAACAATAAGGTCATTTCAGTTGTCTCAAACATTTCCAGTTTCCAAACTAAGCAACACCAGATGCAAAGGAGGCAACATGTACATAATGTGCAGTTATATAGCTGGCTTGGCTTCCAGCAGCCTCCCTCTAACAATGGTCAGCTGAGCCTCTCTTTAGTACCCTTTAAGCTGGCGTTTCCTGAACGTGAAATATGTTTGCTCTTAGAGTAGATATGTGCTGTGACACACAAAGTGTCTTGCAAACGTATAACATGACAAAGTCCCTCTCACAAGAACTTACAGTTCCTTTACTTTGTTCCATTTAGTTCTAACATTAGTGCAGGGGTGGGAGGGATCATTTAAATTAGCATTTTTCTTGTACATGTGATCAATTGATTCATAAGTCATTACAATGTTCTGTCCCCAGAACAACTGACAAAACCATAAAGTCAAATCTGAACACAGAACAGATGTTGCCTATTATTTTCTCATGACCGAGTTGCAATTTTAACCCAGTGATAGAAAACCCTGAGGAAGGAGTTAAACATTCTGGGCATTTGTTGTGTATTACTCTCGAAAAGAAATATCCATTACAAATGTTATTTTCATCAGACAATGCAATTGTTCTTCCCCCAGAAAACTCTCATTAAACCTAATGAAATGGTTCAAGATAAATGCACAAGGTAAAAAGCAGTGACCTAAGCTACTAACTGAAACAGCCATGAAATGATTTCATCTCAAATAAAAAACGTTGAAAGTATGTACTTGGGGGGGTGGGAGGGGTGAAAATCAAAATATTAAAATAACAATTCAAAAAGATGGGTAACCAGTATCTATTGTTTCCTAAACAAAAACAGTACTATCACCAATGCTGATCTCACAGGTGCTCACTTCATTTTCCATTTTGAAAGCAAGTTTAGCCTCCTCAGCTTACACTAATGCTCTCACTTTCACAAAAGCAAGGCATGTTCCAGAAGACACCATTAATAACATAAGTAAGCACATCCTAAAGATATTCTATATCTGAATAAGCAACTTGCCCAGTAGAAAGTCATCCACAACAGGAATAACTTGTGACACTTTCCTGTCATCTTAAGACTCCTATTAGTAGTATCTTTCAATTCTCCCTCTACATTTAGAAATGAAGGAATTTTTCAGAATACAGTTAGGATCCTAAACTGCAGCTGCAAGTTTAGAAAGTCCATGAAAAACACAAGTAAAAAGAAATAAACCTTTCAGCCGCACTGGCAAAGCAAACAGGACATGTTGCAGTGCATCCAGCTTTTTCACACTTCCTATATTTCTTCTCTGATGCTTCATCATCATCATCTGCTGCTGCTTCAGCCGCTTTTTTCTTCACCTAATAAAGAATAGCTGAAATCTGACCAGAAATTACACAAATACATCTTCTACAAAGTGGCGTTCAGACAGTTTTTCAGCTTGTGAGTGGCATCCAACAGTTAAATGAAATGAAAATCTTTGTATCCATTGTGAAATAGCTGCAGCATGAAACAGCTGTCAAATTAGGTCAGTTTTTTCCTACCAAAAAAAAAAAAAANAAAAAAAAAAAAAATCACAAAAAAGCAAGCCACAAACCCACAGCAAGACTGGAAATATCATTTAAAGCTAAAAATGTCTTGCCTTAGTCTAATTGATGCCATTGAAGAAATTATAAGCAAAAATTCCAGTTTAAATTGTATTTTAAGCTCCATCACATGCCAATGAGTCAAGCCTAATGCATTCGTTCTATTTCTCCTTCAGAAAATCTCCTCTTTGCATACTTATTGATATCATTTAGTGGCAATCCTATCTGTGCCTCAAATAAAATATTATAGCAGGCTTAGGGCCTTTTTTTTTATACAAAACTGTATACCAGATGTCTCTTCTGGGCCTCAAAGGTACCGTGTATTGTGTTGTTTTAGGCCTCTGTCTGGATGGGCAGACAGCTTTTTCTAACTGTACAGAAATCTGTGATTGTATTTTTAATGTATTAAGCATTAACAGGCTTAATTTATCTTTCTTGAGTATTTATCTTTCTTGAATATAGTTCACAAAATGAGATGCTTTGCCTGCTCGTTCACAGAATTACCTCATTCTCCCCCTCTGTGGATAAGTACTCTTAGGCCTAACTTACCCACAATGAAGCCTGCTTTCTTTATGAATGTCAACAGAAAATAAAAAATAGCAAAGTACAAACCCACGTGTTTTTGAATTTTATAAATACCTGTCTTCCAGAACTCCTCACAGGAAGATTGTCTGGAGACTGATCTGAAGAACATGCCTTTTTTTTCGTTCGTACCCTTCCAGTTGACATGGTATTGTTAGATCTGAAAAAAAGTAGGCAGTAGTTAATAAAAAAGATTAAATTGCTTGCTTTTGAAGAGCTGTCTAATCACCTGGGCAGTACATTCACTTATAACACCACTTTTGACAGAGTTACCTAGGTAAGAATCTGTTCAGCTTGACTATTAATTCAGGAGGAAAATGAGAATGAGGCATTACGGGAAAGGAACAATACTACTATTTTAAACTAAATTCAGAGTTAAGATTAGATCCCTGAGTACATCTTGACAGGCTGTTCCAGATCAGCATATCCTGGATTTCAATAATCTGATTTGCATTACGTGAAGACCTGGACTGGAATTTGGGTTGGCAAAGTGAACAGACATCACTTCAATGCTGGTGCAAGCATTCAAATACCACTCAGAGCAATACTCGTCCTGCTAACTACTGGTTTATTGGTAGCAAGAGATTTGCACTCTAAAGCACTTTTCCAAACAGTGTACTGAAGAGACATTCAATATCGGGTGAACAACCAGTTCCAAGACTTGCACATGAAGTGCAAGTACCTCCTATGAAAGTATATCAGAATTTAAAGTCTAGACTGCAGTTGCATTGAAGCTTTAGGTGACTTTAGGAGAAAATAGAAGATTTACGGCACGAGAGAGCTCTGTGGCTGTCTTTGACTGCATTGGTAGGAATGCAGAAAAGACCACAGTTTATCATATAAACTGGAAAGCACAGAGTGTGAGAAAGTATGCAGCAGAAATATGAAAGCATATTTAAAATGGTATTATCAAAGGCATTCTTTTCACATGGAGTAAAGCACAAATAAAGAGAGCCTAGCGGAAGAATTAAATCTACGAGTGCTCTACCACATACAGAAAGGAAGGGGAAATAAATCCCTTGTACAACAGCACTGAATCTTGAATGTTATCTTGTCATAATAGGGATCTGTTTGTAATTATGTTTCTTTTTTATATAATTTTATATATATATATATATATGATACTTCTCAATTCTCCCTATTTCAGGCTGCATTTTCCTTATTCAAGCTGTTAGTGATGAACACGGCAGTGGTATCTTCGTTCAGAAATTCTGCTCAAAGTAAAGGTAACAGGAGGAGAAAATGGGAATTTTCAAAAAATTTCAAATTAAGCTGATGCAAATCAAGTAAACTGGTGCTTCATTCACTTCTCAAGACAGAAGAAATTATTTGGGGAAAGAAGAGAAATCACATGATATCCACATAAAGTGGATATATTTTACATCAGTAAAAAATTAGTTCAGACAACCCAATATAAAAATAAACTTTTTTTTTTTTGCATGCACCCCTTCCAATTATTATTCAGTAGAGGGATTGAAAAAAAATTAAGTCAACCTTTTTTACCTAAGGAAAAAAAAAAGCATCACTTCACCATAACTTACCACTGTGTGGGGGTGGATGGGGTTGGAGAGTGGAGAAAACCAACCAGTTTCATTTACATGAGATTTCCCTAAACTGCTGTTTAACACCCCAGAAAATGGTAGGTTTTTTCCCCTAAAGCTTCCCTTCTGGATCAGTGGCACAAAGTATCTCTCTGTATCACCTTAGCTTCTGACTGTAGATAGTCAATCCGACATGACCGTCCTTACAGTTGGAGGCTACAAACTGCCTCAGCACTGAGCGAGGCACCAGGTGACTCATTTTGGTGGCCAGCAGGTGATTACAGTCTGCTGCTGCTGCCAGGCCCTGTATCCATGAAGGTAAAATAACATGCAGCTGTTTCATTGCATATAAGGGGATTAGAAGAAATAGCACTTATCAATCACTAATAAGTTTGGTAAAAATACTTCACACTGAGAGGCCTCTCATTTTGAAAGGCAGAGGCCAGTTGTACAGAATCACAGACATATTTTTCTGTAAGTACTGTGGGAGGATGAGGCAGAAAGTGGGGAGAAAGGGAGAAAAAGAGATGGGCTTAAGGCCATTACTTGCAGTTGTATGCCACTTCGTCCCCACTTTCTCTCAGAAACCAAACAACACCCCCAGAAAAACCCATAAATTTTTAGAGAACAAGTAAACGTGACAGTCTACTAAGCTTTACATGACTCTGCATCCTATCCTACAGATGTTATCTTACTGGCAGAGAAAATAAGCCTTTTAAAAGGAAAGAGAGATGCATAATACACTGTCACATTTGATAACGTTTCATCCATTCATAACGCATGGCCTATACTGGGAAGCTTTGTGGGGTTTACCTGCAGTTGACAGCAAGTTTGTCTTTGGGGAAGAAAAAAAAAAAACAACTTAAAAAAAAAAAGAAACCACGCACGTTGACAGAGAGAGAGAGGAAGCGAGAGCAGCCCGATTAACACGGACAGGGGGGACCGCGAAGCGAGCACATCTCTAAAACTCAGCCCCGAGTAAAGCGCCGGCGTCCAGCCCCGCGGCCGCGGGTGACAGCGCCCGCCCCCGTCCCGGACCGCGCTGTGACAGCTGGCGGCGGGAGCGGGGTGCCCAGGGGAGCCCCGGGGCAGGGCTGTCCCCGGGGCAGTGCTGTCCCGTCAGGGCTGTCATCGGGGCAGGCGGGGCGGTCCCTGGGGCTGCCGGCCGGCGGCGGAGCGGGCGCTGCGGCCGGAGCCTGGCACTCACCTCGGGGCCGGGTCGCTCGGGGGCCGGAGACCACATCCACGCGTGTCCGCGCCGCCTCCTGCTAGAGCTGCAGCGGGGGGGAGAAGGGTGGAGAAGAGGGAAGGAAGGGAGGGAGGGAAAGAGAGAAGGGGGAAGGAAGGGAGAAGCGGGGAGGTGAGGGCGGGGGCAGCGCTCGCACCTGCCCCGCCGCCCCGGGGAGGGGGCAGCCGGCGCCGCGGCGGGCGCTGCAGCTGAGGGAGGGAGTCACTCACCACCGCCGCCGCCATCCCCAGCGCCATCCTCCTCCTCCTCCCCGGTGCCGTGCACCCTCAGCCCGCCTCCTCCTGCCGCCGCTTCCGCTCTCCGCGGTGCGTAGCGAGGGGGAGGGCGGGGAGGCACCGCCCCGGCTCCGCCGCCTCGTGGGACCCGCTGCTGCCGCCGCCGCAGCCGTGCAGGTACCGTCGCTGCCGCGGCCGCCCGGGCGGGGGGCGCTGAGGGGGCGGTGCTGAGCCCCGACGGGTCACCCTGCGGGTCCCCCCGGCTGCAAGCCGCTGGTCCTCCCGCCGTCTGCCCGCGGGTTTCCCGTGAGAGAGAGAAGTGTCGGCATCTCCCTCCTCACTTACGGAGTAGGGGGGCTTCCAGATGGGTGCCAAACGACAGGCCAGTGGCCTGGACAGGGCGCGCTCAGCCGGCTTCGCCCCGGGAAACGGGGTCTGTCTGAAGCCATCGGTAGCAAGAGTGTGCTCTTTATCGTTCTGTACAGCTACACTGCTATAGTCACCAAACAGTAATCTCTTAAGATGCACTAAATTTTTGTTCGATTCGAAGAAATAAGAGCCAATTCCAAACTACGCGTTGGGTGGGGGTATTTTTTCTCTCATTTTTCACAGCTACTAGCACTCCTTGGAGACGATGGACCACTCAGCGAATGCACCTGGGCTCCTGGAAGGCTCTAATATTGGGTCACAGAAAGAGAGAGTGGTGACTGAGGAGGAATGGCTACAAAAATGGGAAGTGGGTAACATCGGGTTTCACAAGGAACAAGGACATCCGTACGTGACTTCACTCTTCTGCCTAAGCTGTTTTAAGAAATGCTGTGAAATTAATTACTTGACTCATTTGAGAAACTCTTAATTGAAAATGGAACATTTGCAAAAGGAAAATTATTTTATACGGGCACAGCTTGAAGCTAAAATAAATATACATATTTTTATGACCTACAATTGTCAAAAAAATGACAGAGAAAAGAAAGTATTGAAATTAGTTTAAAACTTTTGAGTCAGGTTTTAAAACTTGGATAGCTTGGCTAAAAATCTTAAATTTTCTGATGCAGAAGCTTTGCACTGCTTTTCATAAGTTGTGAAACCGAGGCCTGAAAACCATATGTGGAGGGCATCGGAGCAACTGCTGTGCACTGGAAAACAGGGACCTAAGAAAGCAGACCTGATTATGTAGTCTTTCAAGTCCTGTGTGAGTGACTTGACTGATACAGAAGTTCAATAATCATTCTGTTTAAAAATCTCTGTTATGGCCCTCTTAGAGGTGGGTGGGTTGGTCTGCTTACCTGAAAAGACAAACAGAAAAGAGAGCAACCATAAATGTGTTAATTTCTGACAGAAATGAAATTTACTTTCTAAGTAAATGGGAGGTGAATGTTTTTATTTCTAATGGCATGAAGCGGGTTGAGCTAAGAGACTGTGTTGCATCATGCAGTTTGTGTGCTACCTGCCACAGCGTGTAGCACTTGGTGTTTAATGTGTCAGCACAAATACTTGCAGAGTTAAGTAAAATGTGTCTTCTTCTGCAGGCTCCTCCAGAAGTATTTGGATGTTCTTTTAAATGGCAAGAGTGGACTGAGGATATTTTTCCCACTTTGTGGTAAAGCAGTAGAGATGAAATGGTAAAACACAGAATACAACAGCAAAAATCTCATTTGATATGGGGAGGGAGAGGGGGAATTCCCAGCCTTATACTGGCCAATGGAAATGTGCCACATCTCCACTGGTAGGAAAGCAGCGTCACTGGAAGCTGAAGGGAGGAGGAAGTTTGGTTTTATTTGCTGGTGTTTTGTATAGTAGCATAAATGGGATAGATAAGGATTAACCTGAAAGTGCTCTTCATTGTCCCAAGTTCAGCTTGGGGAATGCTGAATTTATGACAGACAGAGTGACTGAAGTCCTTACCATTGCTGGTTTGGGTAGCAATTCCATCTTAAATTGGTTGGTTGTGCCAGAGCACATTTTCAAGAGACCATGTAGCATATCATGCTGGGAATTTAAATGATTTGGGCTAAATATAACTTCCTCTTTTTTTATATTTATTATTTTCTTTTTACCTTTTTTGTTGGTGGAGGTTATTTTTTTAATTAGGCCTATATAAGCCAGTGGTTTTTTTCTTGGAGAGGGTGTCACAAACTGAAAAACTGTGACTGAGCTGCATCCTCAAGGAATCCAGTTAGTCCCAGTTATCAGATTTTATCACGGTTACTACTTTCCAGGCTGACTGCTGGCTCTGACATATGTTGCTGTTGCACTGAGCTGCAGCAGTGCAGAGGTTACCACACCTCCCTCGCTGGCTGTTCTTGCCAAGCCACAGAGCCAGCTAGGTGGACAACGTGCCTCAGCTGCCACAGTTCAGAGCAGAACACGTTTCGTAAATGGACAGTTTCTCTGTGTGACCACCTGTTTTCATTGAATCCATAAGAATAAATTAATACTTCATTGAATTTAAATAAAGCCTCTAAGTCCTTGTCAACTGTATGTCAAGGGGTGCTAATTTAAGCTCAGGTCATGGAGGGGAGGTGTTCAATATAATGTGAATGGTCCAGAAAGTCAGGATTAGGCATACCAATGCATCCTAAAACCAGGGTTTCCCTAGTCAATAAATGCTGCATGAGAGAGACACATTTGGTAAAGGCCCAACCTGTGGGCTTCGTGTTAACTTGGCACCTCTCTCTTCTGTGTGCAGGCTGGCAGACATGGGACACAACGTTGTTGGTGTGGAAGTAAGCGAACAAGCACTGAAGGATTTTTTTTCAGAACACAGTCTGCCTTATTGTGAGGAGCCAGTCCCAGAGATTTCAGGAGGAAAAATGTTCCAGGTATGTTTCCTACATTATCAAATGATCTGGTGTCATTAATCATGCAATGCAGACATAACTGAGCAAACAAGTTGTTCTGCTTTTATGCCTCTATTTTACTAGTAATTATTCACCTCTCCTGAAGAGGTCTGAAGGGAAGCTCTGAGCTGTAATTTTGGACTGAGAAGTTGTTTGTTTGAACTTACAACTTTGGCCTTCTTTTCTTATGACAGTGAAGCACCTGAGGGAATGTAAAGGGGATGTATTTTAAAATTGGACAGTTGCATGTCTTGATAGGCTAGAACCTCTCTGGAGGGGATAGGAGAGTTACCTCAGTAAATTAAAACTAAAAATATTTCTTACAGTTTTCCCCCATTACACATAAGTGTATATTTAAAAATAATATATGTGTATGTTTTAAGGTATAAAGTATAAATAAATACTTATGTGTGCATATTTAAAGATAGTTTGCTCATAAGTATTGTTTCCTTCGCTTTTTATTGTAGAGTACCTCTGGCAACATTTCCCTGTACTGCTGCAGTATTTATGATTTGTCCAGGTAGGAAAACACTGTGTTTTACAATTCTCTATAATAGAACATGCATTAGTACTGTCATAATACTGCCATTATTTTACTTGAATCAGACATAAAGATTTGTCAGGTTCTCTCAAGAAAACTCCCATTAATTTGTATGATAAATGTAGATAGCCAGTCTCCAACAGAAACTTAACTCTGTTGTTGACCATTAGGGATGCCAACTAATTATCTTTAAATGGGCTTCTTGTTCTAAGCCATTCTGTGAAAGCTATAGAAAGACATGTTTGCTTTTACAGTAAAACCAAATTATCTTTGACATTATTGATGAATTCTGTGGTGCAAAACACTAGCACTATCCCTTTATCAGAGTAGCTTTGTATAAGTAAAGAGAATATACCCAGAGGTGTCTTAGCATGATAGTTCCCTGCTCTTGCACTTCTTACTCAGACATGATTTTCCCTAGATTATAAGATTTTGGTGAAGTTTTTTGTGTTGATTTGCTTTTCTTACAAACAACTGTCAGGAACAAGAATTTGTTCCATGTGAAAAGAAGGAGATCAAGTCTTAATCTTTACTTCAATGGGCTTTCCAGAGCTAGTAGATATACAGGCTTAATAGATAGTTTAGGACACCAGAACATGGTGTTTACTATACAATCCTTTTTTTTTTTTTACCTCAATCTGCATAAATTGGAAAAAAAGACCGTTCATTACTAGAGTCCAAAGTGTTTCAGATCCTAGAACCTTTACTAAGACTTCTGCTCCTGCAGCTGACTCAATTTGGTTTGAGTAGTGTATGTGTAACTAGGCCTGCAAAGTGAGTGCCTGGGAAAAAAAGGGCTGTATATGAACATGACTTTGTAGATACTGCCTGATTTCTCCCCTACCTTACCCCTGCAGTGTAGCTACTGCTGCATAGATCCCTATAAATCCTTCTTGCTCTGAGCTAACAAGTTTCTCGGGGATTGCTTAAGCTTCTCAGAAATTTTTGAAAAATTCCATTATAAGTTTTGTAGCAAGTAGTGTGGTGAAACCTGTAACTTCCATCACAACATGGTGGAATTATACTTTGAAATGAACAAAATTAGGTAATTAGTGACAATTTCAGTGCATATTACTAGATCCAGTACACAGTTTCTCGTTGACAAAATAAATTGGCAGATTGATGTTCTGGGATGCAGAATGAACTGCATTCCCTAAGCAGTCAGCAGATACCCATAACTAGAAAAATGCACACACTCTTCCAATTTCTGTGCACAGACAATTTGATTAATTACCCAGTAATTATGGAAATTAAACTTATTTCTCTCTTGCTGAGCTTGGCCTATTAACAGGTCCTTTTGATCTCCGTTAGCCTAGCATTCTTTAGAGGAGAACTCAGATGTGCTGTTAACTTTTGTCAGAATGGGTCATTTCATAGACTCTTGCTAGTTAAACAGTAACAGGAATTACTGCTCTTTGTGGGAACTCTGGGACGAATGTAAAACAGTTATATTACACAACCATTGTACCTCCTAATACAATTATGGCTACAAGACCTTAAAAAAAAAAAGTAAAAAAATTGCATTGACTGAAACTACTAAACATATGCAGAGATATAAATTCACAAGTCTATTCCTTAAATCCAGTGGGTTTTCCACCAATATGTGAATTTCTGATTTGTGTGTTAAATTTTGTTAGTTGTAATAGTACCTAACTACAGATGTGCAGATGGGCAAGGAGCACCCAGATGCTCAGCAAGTCCTGAGATCTGGGCAACCAGGAGATCGGGGCAAGGCCACAGCATGAGCCTGCCTCCAGCCTGTGATGACTGTAGGCCCTGATGAAATCTGTGGGGAGTGGAATACATTAAATGCCTGTGTGGAGCCACCACCACCATTCCAGTTAGACCAGATTAAAGTTGGGAAGAAAAACCAAGTGCAGAAAACTTCAGTGGCTGGCCTGAGGTCATGCAGCAGACTTGTGTATGCAGAGAGGAGAACAGCCTCCAAGCCTCAGAAGATCAAGTTTGTCACCTTCCCCACTAGACTTCCCTTTGTGCTCCACAGGTCCATTGCTTGTTTAACTGTCTCCTTAAAAATCTCCCTTCAGTTAAGGGGGTGGTTATTTAAATTAGATGCTTAGACTTGGCAAACTTTAAAAGAAATCAGCACTTAAAAGTGTTATCATGTCTCATCTCAGTAGAGTGGGAAATACAGGATCAGCTTCTAGGTTAGATGCCAGAGACTTAGCAATGCCATTGCAATGAAAATAGCAGTGAGCAGAGAGAAGTTGTTGTGGTTTAACCCTGGCTTGCAGCTAAGCAAGCCCACTGCCCCTGTCATGGGATGATAGGGACAATCATAAGGGTAAAAGTGAAAAAGAAACTTCTGGGTTGAGATAAAAACAGTTTAATATTTAAAAATAAATTTAAAAAAGAAATCATAAGAAAAATTTAAAAGAAAACACAAACAGTGACCAAAGAGAGAGGAAAATAAAACCCCAGAAAGACAAGTGGTGCAAATGAAAACAGTAGTCCACCACCAACCAACTAATGCCTAGCCAGTCCGAAGCAGCGACCCCTCCTTCCCCTGTAGCTTCTCTCCCAGGTTTTTTTGCTGAGCATGACAACATATGGTCTGGAGTATTCCTTTGCTCAGTTGGGGTTAGTTGTCTCAGCTGTGTCCTTTCCCAGCTTCTTGTGCACCTCCAACCTACTCACATCATGGTGTCATGGTGTGAGGAGCAGAAAAGGCATTGATGCTGTGTGAGAGCTGCTCAGCAGTAACTAAAACAGCCATGTCTTATTAACACTATTTTCAGCACAAATCCAAAACATATCCCCATGACAGTTACTAGGAAGAAATATAACTCTACCCCAGCCAAAACCAGTACACAAGTGAAGGCAGAGGTGGTGCAATTGGACTCTGACACCTTCCCAGTAGGCCAAAAGGTATTGCACAATTCCATGCCGTATTTTTCTCACTAAGTAAACTTATTCAAACTTTCCTTTGCAATTTACATTATTACTACCTTATTATCTAAACTCCTTTTTTAATAATTACCAGAAACAAGGCTCTTTTTATGCCCCAAATATTCTTATCTTAGGGTCACACCCTGACTGCTCTTACCACCCCTCAATAAAGGCACTTCTTGATAGTCTTGCCCACTTGCAGGTTTTGGGTGGTCACTGAAGCCATCTGCCAGCATAACCAGAAGCAAAATTAATGTCAGTGATAGTGTTACACTGAGGCAAACAGCAGTGTAACTTACCTTTTCCAACATCAAACAAATTGAAAGCTGAAGCTAACTGTCCTGGGCATGTAGCTGGGAATTGAGGTGTCTAAAGTTACTGGATGTGCTGAGTTCAATGATAGTAAAGCAATAAGGCACCTTCCTTAGCCTGCATTTGAAATCATGGGTGGTTTTTAGAAGGTGGTCAAGAACTGTTGATGTGCTGAGTACATGTTAGTATTACTTCAAGGGTGACAGCATGGTGTGATTACCAAACACTGAGATGCGTTGCCTGAACGTGTTAAAGGTACATTCCTTCCTCCCTGCCTTGTCTCAGCACCTTCTAATGATGGGGAAACACCGACCAGTTCCAGCACCTTTTTACTATCGCAAGGCCATGTACCAGGGAGGTTTTTTGCGTTCCAGATCATATTAGTGTGGATCATGAAAATGCTGCACCATAACAAAAAGCTAGTGGGGAATCTGCATCCTTGTGACTTCACAAAGGTATCTGATCAAAGATGAAGATGCCTTTTTACTATTTTTAAGCCTTTTCCTTATCTCCCTGTAGCTCAATAGTTGGCAAGTTCGATGGAGTTTGGGACAGAGGAGCTCTTGTAGCTGTGAATCCATGTGACAGACAACGGTTAGTAAATTGCATTGTTATTGTCTTTATTCTGCTGTATGCAGCCACAAGTTTTTCCTCCTGCCACTTGTTGATGAGTCCTCTTTCGTGTAAAGGACTAACCTACACAAGTTTTTCTCTACCGCAAGCATCTGCTGCAGTCGCAGAGTGTCATACTCTAGATTTGTGAACTTCCTTCAGGAAGCCACTCTGCCTCTTGGTGGGAAAATATGTGGTTTGTTCCGACCAATTAGAAGCAGAGCTGCAAGTCTCATCTGAATTCTATTATTTCCCTTTCACCACATCTGCTTCTCTTCTCTGTGTTCTTTTTCTTCTCACTTCCCTTGATTCCAAATTTTCGTTCTTGCCTATAGCCAACCCAAATTTAGTTTGAACCTACTCCCATGATCTTTTAATTAGATACATAATCTTGAATTCACAATAATTTTAAAAGATCAGTACTGTATTGTGCACTGTATTCTAGACTGTGACAGGTGAATACTTGGTTTGTCTGTTAGTTTTGAGTTGAATATGCAAAAAAAAGGATAAATGCTTCTTTGTGAGGAGTAAACATAACCCTTTGAGGTTTTCCATGTGTAGCATGAATTTCATGCTCCTGAAATTCAAACTTTGTTTAGTCTTTATGCAGTTCAGTTCAAATGCACAGAAGTGCATGTTGCCTCTTTTGTTGAGTATTTTGAATGCTATGCTTGAATGCTTTACAAAAATAATAAAGTATAACTTTCTCCTTTTAGCTATGCCAGTTTGATGATCAACTTAATGGAGAAGAATTCTTCTTATCTCCTTGTTACAGTTTCATATGATCCAAACAAACACAAAGGTGAGAGCTTTGTACTGTTCACATTATGATTTTGTGTGCTTTAATACAAATTGTAGGTAGGTGTAATATATATATTTGTATCTTCTCCAAGTTTTTTATCTCTATAGCTTTGTTAGCTGATCACGCCAGTATAACTGTATGTTAAAAATTTTAGATGTTGACCAAGCTTGAGACTAAATTTGGGTTCTCTCTGGAGTTCTGACATGCTAAGGGTAAGTTGAGGACAGACATGGTATATTAACAATAAAATGAAACTGGAAGTGTGGCTGTGACAATGAAGCTGGAAGTGTGAATACTTAGTAACATCCTGTCTGGCCTCGGGAGCTTGAAACACTCCCAAGAACATCAGCTTTGCGCTGTTTACCCAATGCTTGCAACCAAACGTGTTGCCCATATTGTGCCTCTCTCCCAGCCACTACCATGCTCTGAATATACTTGGAAGAGGTGGAATTTTATAGAATCATAAGGTATTCTTTCCTTTTATGTTTTATACTGAAGTGTGAGGTATTTTAAAAGATTATATTTTTGTTAATATTAACACACAAAAGAAAAAGATTTCTTGCTGCTTTTGGGCCCCTCAACATAATTATCCCTGAAAAAATTAGGTCTTGTTTTCATAGGCAACAATAGTTTAATTCATTGCTTTCCCTCTTGCATTGTTCAACTTTTAGCTTTAATTATGCCATTGTAGTATAAAGAGATTGTAGGCTAGATTCACACAGCACACTGAGACTGTTGTATCCACGGCACATTCATGATTCCCTGGTTGTAGCTGGAGATGATGCAGCAGCAACACCTGAAGCTGTCTGGTGGCCCACCAAGGTATCACAAGTTCTTGGACATGTTGTTTTCTGGTTGTTGCTGATGGTGCTACATCCTGGGGCCCAGTTACAGGCCAGGTGTTGTGAGTGAAGGGGCTGGCTCTCCCACTGCAGTGTAAATATTTGTCTTCTTCCAGCATCTTCTGTCTGATTAGCTTCACCCCTTTTTTTTTCAGGCCCACCATTTTATGTTCCTGAATCTGAAATTAAAAGCTTGTTTGGTAAGTAATATTTCAGCTAACCCTTAGGAATTTTTTCCAAAATGAGTAAACATGTTTATATGCCTCTACCTTGCCTCTACCTGTGATGAGTGATATAGTCATTTGCTTCTTATCTAAGGGCTGGAGTCATGGAAAAATACCAGGAAAAATAAATACCATTTAGCCACAGGGATTTTGCAGTCAAGGAAAATTCTCAGCTCTCCAAAGGCTATGAAGAAAACCCAAGAGACAAGGAGACTCTTGTCTCCCTGTGGCATCTTTTTGTTCTCCCAGGATTCATACTCCACTCAGTGATCTTGTAGATGCTGTCTTAGTCCCACTTGACCATTTTGTCTTTGTCTGCACCTCATCAACCAGCTGCACTGGTTTTAATATAAGGCCTACCAGTGCTACATCTTCTGCTGTACTTTTGTGACAAAGAAAAAAAAGTAACATGCTACACAAAGAAAATGCTAAAAACATACCACTCAAATCCATCAAAATAATGAATGTTGGAGTTATGGCAGGATTTTAATTTTAAAAGTTCCTTTTGATATGCTTTAAAATTGCACTTTTAAATTTACAACTTTTTGAGACTCCTGCAGTGTTTGTGTGCAGTGAGTCATTGGTAAAGACAGTTGCATCCCAGCGCAAAAGAGACAGATAAGTTTTCTCAAGTGCCTTTATGTCACTGCGTTAAGGACTGTAAGGAAATCTGTGGATAAAATTTATTTTTTTCTGGAGAGTTTTCATTTTTCAGTAACTAATCATTCACTAATTTGTTACTCTTTCCTCCTTTTCAGGCAGCTGCTGTGAAATTCAGTGTCTTGAAAAAGTCGATGACTTCTCAGAAAAGCACAAACAATGGGGATTAGATTATTTTCTGGAGGTGCTATATATGCTAAAGTTTGTAGCTTGATTAAAATTAATTAAAATAACTTGCCTCCCATCTTCCTTTTATTTTTATCTCACATTTTAAAATGGGGCATTCTTAAAGCAGGCTCTAGTGTACAGAAAAATACCTGTGGAACATTTTTGTCTGTTTTTCTTACCAAGTCAGCTCTTCTACACAGCTGCCTTCACTGCCTTGATATGTGCACAGATTTTCTTAAACTCCATGCACAAACAAGCATTATTAAAGTATATCTTTTTCTTACATATCAATTCAAATCATCTGAGCTGGGAGAAAGAAACATTCCTGTTCCTTTTTGGCTGTTGCCGCTGTCTGCCCAGCATTCTGTGGATCAGCCTCGTCAGCTGGCAGCCCTGGGAGCAGTGGCCAGCTGTTGTTCAAACACTGTTTTCCGCAATGCTGGCCTTGCACCAGACCGGGCAGCTGGGCAAGAGAGGTGGGAAACTACTACTTTATGTCCCTGTTAGTTGTGAATATAAGTCCAGTGAAGACCTGGCAGTAAGCAGGCAAGGCAAGGCAAGGCAGCAGCTGCCAAAGGGGAATTACCATCAAGCAAGGAAGACTGGAGGGAAGCAAACTGGGTGATAGTAAAGGGGAGAGTATGAGGAGAAAATGTCCTGGCAGTTGTTCAAAAGTGTGCTGCTCCCTCACTCAAGAGCACAGCTATGAGCTGGCAAACCAGCACAGGGCTTGTAGGGTGAGAGGGTTCAAAGAGTGCCAAGTGAGCTGTGGGTGTTATTACTAAGCCATTTTCCATCATCTTTGAAAGGTTGTGGAGAACAGGAGGGGTGCCTGAGGACTGAAGAAAAGACAGTGTCACTTCAGTCTTCCAAAAGGGGCAAGAAGGAGGACCTAGGAACCTGCACGCCAGTCAGCTTCACCTCAATCCATGGAAAGGTGATGGAACAACCCATCCTGGATGTCATCTCTAAGCATGTGGAGGAAAAGAAGGTTATCAGGAGTAGTCAACATGGATTCACCAAGTGGAAATCATGCTTGACTTATCTCATAGCCTTCTATGATGCAATGACTATCTGGGTAGATGAGGGAAGAGTAGTGGATGTTGTCTATCTGGACTTCAGCAAGGCTTTTGACACTGTCTCCCATAACATCCTTGTAGGTAAGATCAGGAAGTGTGGGTTGGGTTAGTGGACAGTGAGGTGGATTGAGAACTGGATGAATGGCAGAGCTCAGAGTGTTGTGGAGAATCTAGATGGAGGCTGGAGCAAGCGGTGTTCCCAAGGCTCAGTACTGGCTCCAGCCGTGTCCAGCTTATCCATCAATGACCTCAATGAAGAGACAGAACATACCTGCAGTAAGTTTGCAGATGATACAAAACTGGGGGAGTGGCTGACACAGCAGAGTGCTGTGCTGCCATCAGCAAGACCTGGACAGGCTCAAGATCTGAGCAGAGAGGAACCTAGTGAATCTCAGTGAAGGCAAGTGCAGGGTCCTGCACCTGGGGAAGAATAAGCCTGGGCATCAGCACAGGCTGGAAAGTAACTCTGTGGAGAATGACCTGGTGGTCAACAAGATAGACAGCAGTGTGCCCTTGTGGCCAAAAAGGCCACTGGTCTCCTGGGATGCATTAGGAAGACTGTGGCCAGCAGGTCAAGGGAGGCGATCCTGGCTCTCTAATGAGCCCTGGTGAGGCCAAATCTGGAGTGCTCTGTCCAGTTCCGAGCTCTTCAGTACAAGAGAGACCTGGACATACTGGAGTGAGTCCAGCAGGGGGCTACAAAGATGCCTAGTGGACTAGAGCATCTCTCTTATGAGAACAGGCTGAGAGAGCTGGGATTATTTATCCTGAAGAGGACAAAACTGAGAGGAGATCATTAATGCTTACAAATATCTTTAATGTCAGTTGTCAAGAGGATGGGACCAGACTCTTTTTAGTGTTTCCCAGCAACAGGACAAAGAGCAACAGGCCCAAACTGAAACACAGGAAGTTCCATCTGAATATAAGGAAAAACTTCTCTACTTCGAGGGTGACAGAGTACTGGAACTTCTCCCCTTTGCAGCTTGTTTTGAAAGGAAAGTATGATTGCAATGTAGTGTATTCATCAAGAATAGAAGGCAAGTAAAAGCCATGAGGTTTTTTAGACTGTTGTAGTCCTAGAGCTGCAAATGGGTCTAATGATTTTAGCACAGCAGTCTTCACGCCTACAGCCCATCGCAACACTCGATATTGCTTGTAGATACTCATGTTTCAAGGTCAGGTCAACAGAGAGAAGAGATGTAGCCAGCAGGCCAGGGCAAGCTCAGAGCTGTTATTTTTGTATGTTTTCACTTCTGCTCACTACCGCAGCTACCAGGATAAAGCATCTCCTTTCTTTGAATCCAGAAATTTTTTTCTAGATGCAACGTGAGAGCTGCTGAATTTTATCTCAGACTTCCAGACACATGATAGCCTCAGAAGGCCAGGTGCTTGACATGAGGCTGCTGCATGTTCTGTGATGTCCTGTGCAGGACTCTCATGTGACAACCTGGCAAGAGCAATGCCATGTGCCAAATGAGCCATTTTGGGATGTGTAAGATGCCTTTGCCATGTGTGTACCCTGCAGTTACTCTGAGAATACACCATAAATACACCTTGCAGAACAAGCACATGCTGTTCATTGTACCTTACAAGACGTGTGTACTTACTTGTCTGAGAAAGGTGTCACAAGTGATGAATGTAAATATTTTCATTGTGTTTTCTAAAGTTTTCCAGAACAGCAAGAGAAATCTGATGAAATAAAGATGGTCAGAGGGACGGAGCACCTCTCCTATGAAGACAGGCTGAGAGAGTTGGGGTTGTTCAGCCTGGAGAAGAGAAGGCTCCAGGGAGACATTATAGCGCCTTCCAGTATCTGAAGGGCCTGCTGGAGAGCTGGAAAGGAACGTTTTACGAGGGCATGCAGTGACGGAACAATGGGTAATGGCTTCAAACTGACAGAGGATACTGACACTGCACATGTTGCCCGGAGAAGCTGTGGATGCCCCATCCCTGGAAGTGTTCAAGGCCAGGTTGGATAAGGCTCTGAGCAACACGGTTTAGTGGCAGATGCCCCTGCCCATGGCAGGAGGGGTTGGAACTAGATGATCTTCAAGGTCCTTTCCAACCATTCTATGGTTCTTTGAAGCTGTCCTTACTTCCTTACTCTGGTAGGGATATGAATAGCACTAGCAGTGGTGTGGTAACCCGGTAACTGGATGTCTGTGAGGATCTGGTGGATATATGAATAATCTGGTGAATATATGAATAATCCGCTGGAGACAGGAAGGCTCGGGTGGATATTTGAACATTCTGCTGGATATTTGAATACTCTGGCGGACACGGGAACGCTGCATGACCCCGGCAGGGCGGGCAGCCTGGGCCCCTCAGCGCCGTCCCGCCGGCAGCGCTGCCCCGCCCGGGCTGGCCCGCAGGGGGCGCGCGGCCGCCTCGGCCGCGCTCAGCGCCCGCCCCGCTCGGCACGGGGGATCCGGGGCCCCTCCGGGTGATCCGTCCGACCTCCTCGGGCCGGGATGGCGGCGGAGGACGAGGCGGAGCTCAGCCTGCTGGAGTGCCGGGTGTGCTTCGAGCCGTACGGCCCCGACGGGCAGCGGCGGCCGCGCAACCTGCCCTGCGGGCACGTCCTGTGCGGGGGCTGCGTGGGGGCCCTGAGCCGGCGCCTGGAGTGTCCCTTCTGCCGGCGGCCCTGCGGCCCCGCCGAGACCAGCGACTGCCGCCCGCTGCTGCAGCTGCTGGAGCTTCTGGGCCCCGCCGGCCGCCTCGCCCGGGCCCTGGGCGGGAGCGGCGGCCCGGGGGCGGCCGCGCCGGCCCCCGCGGGGCTCGGGCTGCGGCTGTGCCTAGGCGGCTGGGGGTCGCTGGTGAACCCCACCGGGGTGGCGGCCTGCCGCAGCACGGGGCGCCTGGCCGTGGCACACGACGGCAAGAAGAGGATCCACGTCTTCGGGCCCAGCGGGTTCTGCCTGCAGCGGTTCGGGGAGAGGGGGGACGCGGGCAACGACGTGAAGTACCCGCTCGATGTGACGGTCACGTCGGACGGGCACGTGGTGGTCACCGACGGCGGGGACCGCTCCGTGAAGGCCTTCGATTTTGAGGGAAGGGGGGTCCTGGCGGTCCGGGAAGGCTTCCGTTTGCCCTGGGGCTTGGATGCCACCCCCAAGAGTGAAGTAATCCTGACCGACTCGGAGGCAGGCGCTCTCTACCGCCTGACGGCCGACTTTGGAAGGGGGGAATTGAAGAAGTGTCAGATGATCCGGGCTCAGCTCGTCAGCCCCAGAGCGGTCGCGGTCTGCCAGACCTCGGGGGCTGTCGCGGTAATAGAGCACCTGAAAGCTCAAGGACTGAACAAGGGCAGCACCCGAGTGAAGATATTCAGTGCGGAGATGGATCTCATCGGCCAGCTGGATAGCTTCGGTCTGAACCTCGTTTTCCCCTCCAAAATGTATGCTACGGCTGTGGCCTTTGACAAAGAAGGTCGTGTTATAGTAACGGATGTCTGTAGCCAGGCCGTAATATGCTTAGGGAAACCAGAGGAGTTTCCCATGTTTAACCCTCTAATTAGCTATGGGCTTTCTTATCCTGTTGGACTGACTTACACGGCAAATGATTCCCTCGTCATTTTAGACAGTGGTGATCATTCAATAAAAATATATGGCTCTACCTGAATGGTTTAGATGCTTACTGCTACAGGTTCAAGCTGCTTTTGGCCATAACGCATGGAAAGTTCTGGTGCTTGTAGGCACATAGAGAGGAGGTGGTTTCTGGGCTTTATGGTGAAATTACGCCCTGACCAACATGCCGTGCTTCCTGCAAAACTTGTGTTGGATCTCTTGCCTACCTGTGGGAGAAGACCTAGCTGCTGCTGGCTGTAGTCAACAATGAATCAACCAAACAAATGATTTGGCATTTTAAAACTAGCCCAGATCTTGAAAACCAAACGTTTTTCATCCTTTTTGATGAGTAATCAAAGACCAGCACCTGTGAAAGTGATGCATCATTTATTTACATTTCCCAGCACATAGTTTTCATTGTTCTTAATTAAGCATAGATACATTCATGGGGTTGACAGATATTCTGTTTCCAGGAATTCCAGCTTTCTTGTTTCCACAAGAAAGGAGTTTGGCTTGACAAAATGATAGGAGAATTGGAAGCTTCTGTTCAAGGTTGCCTAAATCCAGCTAAGAACATTGCGATTGAGGAGCTACCACTGATGAGTGAGTTATGTGGTGTTCAAAGCCTGTTTTTTCCCTACCAGGAAAACACATTTCTGGGAGCACCCTTCAGTCTGCTATTTTTTTTCCCACCTTTATTAGGGTTGTACTGGAACACTCTGTCTTCCTCTAAAATGCCCAACTCTGTGTCTTTACCTAGAGATAATCTGGTGTGTGGTTCCACAGCATGGGCAGCTTTCCCTTAAAAGCTCCTTGAAGTAATGGTGTTTAGACCATAAATACTCTTGCATATGTAAATTTGAGTTGGCTGTGCTGCTAACACAACTGCACTTAGGAGGTTTTCAATACTGCCTGCTCCTGCTTTGTCATTAATACAGTGCTTTTGCACCCAAACTGGAGGATTCAACTGCAAATTGAAATGTTAGTGAGGAGTAATAGAGAAAGAGAGAAGTAAGGCCCATTTTCTTCCTAGCTTCCAAATGAGGTTTTGTTGATTGTGAGTACACAGAAGGTTTAGATCAGTTTATATTCTCTTGAAGGTAGTTTCACTGTGGACACAAGTTCTCTTGCCTTATTGCACAGTGGAAATTACGGTATATCTGAATTCTGAGAAGGATTAACACCCCTGCTAGAAGTCACTGCTGCATTTTTAGGCATTTACCTGCTGCTGAAATGATTACTCAGGTGCTTCAGTGTTAAAATGAAGTTAGATATAAATGTAAATGCTATCTGAGGTAGAGACAAGTAGGTTAAAATGGCATAAAACTTTTGGGGTAATTTATTTAGTAACTGAAATCATTAATATTAACTAATGTAATTGGAAATTCAGAGGCAATCTTTCTATCACTAAATTTTTCATCTGGCTTTTGGTCTGACTTCAGGGCATTTAATAACTGCATGTATTGCTGCACCAGTGATTTACCAAATACTTACCTTAAATTGGAGCAGTTTAGTCCTCTAATTCAGACAATGTATTAATCTGTTTTATGTTAACATTTGTATAAACAACACAAATCTATTACATGCAGCTGTTTGTACTGGCTAACTGAACAGTGACCTGCCAGTAAAGTGTGATTTGCTTATTCCTATATTTGAATAATTTAGTGAAAATTCCTCATATATTTTCATCATGGGTTTCTCTGTTACAATACAATTTCTCTATCACAGTTGCCCTGTAGATGGTTTCTTTTTCTGTCTGGAAATATCCTGCTGAAGTTGTTGTAGGGCCATCTGTTGCTATTGAAAATTATATGGACCTGTAAATTTGGTCTTTTTTGGCATTCTCTGCTGCCAGGCCAAACAGTAAGTGCCTTTGGAAGAACCAGAAATCCTCCTTGGTTGTTCTGCAGCAGGAGGTGTATGATCCTGAGCAGGAGCCCTGTTGAGAGATCAGGAAGGAAATTTACCCAGAGGAGCATCCACTTGGATTATATATATTCCTTTCTAGGTATCAAGGAGACATCTGTCTTTGAGGGATATAGAACCAATTAGAGAACACTTCCTTTGGGGGACTGCTGTGTGTCAAAATGCCTGCAATGCCATCAGTGTCATCAATGCTGTATTCATACATAATTAATAGTTTGTTACAGTAGCAATTCACATGAACCACGGGCTGTGAGCTTTCACTCCTCAAACCTTCATGTCCACCAGAAGCTTGGTTTTGCTACTGAACTCATGGATGGGCAAATTTCCTAGGACCTACCACCATGCAGGCAACTTTCCAGTAGCTGAAATGCTGATTTTTAAACATTTGGCTCGTATTGTTTTAAAATCTACAAAACCTCTCATTGTTAGCCATTTTGCTCCTGTCTGCTTTGGTATATGACTAGAAATCACTTGATTTTTGGGTTTGCAAGCAAAATAAACCTTGTACCTTTATTCTACCTAGTTTGCTGTGTGCCATCTCCTGCAGTCTCTGCTCGACCCACCTACTGAAAGCAAATGTAGACTTCTTCTGTGGATGATGCAGCTGTTTTCCTTTTACTTGATAGCTTGCTGCTTAGTGTTGTACAGCCTTGCATCAAAGGAACCATTACATTCCCTCTTAATTCTTTTGATGCAGGTGCCTAAATTGAGAAGCCATAATGAACTGTTATAAAATGAAATTAAAATTCGGAGTTCTTCATTGTGTAAAGGAAAATGCAGCAGTAGAGCTGAAAACTTTCTTTTGACACAAAGGAGAATTTTAGAGATAATGAGAGAGGGAGAGATCCACCAATATGCTGATAACAAACTAAAAAACCTCTGACATTTTTACTTACTCTTGCCCTTTCCTTTATGTGTATATGTACATTTCCCCTATAGCTACTGCAGATGTCCATTGCCTTCAGGATGACATCTGCTTTTCAAAGCCCAGGGGTCACATAGTCCTGCAAATCTGTTGGAATTTAGTCATAGATTTCATCAGAACAAAAACTTGTGTTCTGAGAGAGGGAGGGCAAATGATGAGGGGACCATACTTGAACAGATATCCTTAGGTAGGAA